TTTCCTTGCGGGGAGATGATTTTTTCGAAGCTGTTTTACTGCTAGCAGCCGCAGGCAACAGATTTTTTGTCGAAAAATGCTGTTTTTCTACGATTCCCAGTCAGTCCGAAGGACGAGTTTAACGCGGCCGTTAGAGTAAAGGACCTAAATGACTAAAGGCCTCGAAAAACTCATACCTTGAAAAAAAAACAAAAATCCGCACCGCAAGATTAGCAGCAGCCACATAGAGCGGGAGCACTCATGAGAAAAATTGGTCACAAAATCGCAAAACCATTCTTTTTGCATTTTTTGCACAAACCTGATTTTGAGGGTTTTTCACGGCCTTTTCACGGGGTTTTCACTGGCTTTTCATGGCCTTTTCACGGTTTTTTCACGGTGTCACTATTTTCGTAAATCTCGAAGTGGCACCCTAACTTTTTTCAAGCATTGGATAACTTTGGGGGTGGGACCTTGCTCGGCTAAGTCTCACAAAAATACGACCTCAAAAAAAATAACATAGAGAAAACCTCAGTCCTAAAGGCCTAGTTTAACCAGGCCTTTAGCAAAGGCCTAGTTTAGCGAGGACTTGGACCGACAGGGATTTCAGACAACACGTTAGGGAGTTTTTTGGCACGGTTTTGGAACTTGCTCGTCCTTCAGAGGCATGGTGTGTCCCTGCCGGGAGGTGATTTTTTCGAAGCTGTTTTACTGCTGCTAGCAGCCGCAGGCAACAGAATCTGTCGAAAAATGCCGTTTTTGTCCAGGATTTCAGACGACACGTTAGGGAGTTTTTTGGCGCCGTTTTGGAACTAGCTCCTCCTTCCGAGGCATGGTGTTTCCCTGCCGGGAGGTGATTTTTTCGAAGCTTTTTTACTGCTAGCAACCGCACGCAACAGAATCTGTCGAAATCTGTGGAAAAATGCTGTTTTTCTAGGAAATTTCAGACGACACGTTAGGGAATTTTTTGGCGCGGTTTTGGAACTAGCTCGTCCTTCCGAGGCATGGTGTTTCCCTGCCGGGAGGTATTTTTTCGGAGCTGTTTTACTGCTAGCAGCCGAAGGCAACAGAATCTGTCGAAAAATGCTGTTTTGCTACGATTTCAGACGAAACGTTAGGGAGTTTTTGGGCGCGGTTTTTGAGCTAGCTCGTCCTTCAGAGGCATGGTGTTTCCCTGCCGGGAGGTGATTTTTTCGAAGTTGTTGTATTTCTAGTAGCCACAGGCAACAGAATTTGTCGAAAATTTGTCGAAAAATGCTGTTTTGCTACGATTTCAGACGACACGTTAGGGAGTTTTTGGGCGCGGTTTTGGAACTTGCTCGTCCTTCAGAGGCATTGTGTTTCCCTGCCGGGAGGTGATTTTTTCGGAGCTGTTTTACCGCTAGCAGCCGCAGGCAACAGAATCTGTCGAAAAATGCTGTTTGTCTAGGAATTCAGACGACACGTTAGGGTTTTTTTTGGCGTGGTTTTGGAACTTGCTCGTCCTTCAGAGGCATTGTGTTTTCCTGCCGGGAGGTGATTTTTTCGCAGCTGTTTTAACTGCTAGCAGCCGCAGGCAACAGAATCTCTTGAAAAATGCTGTTTCTTCTCTGGCAGGTGTTTTTTTCGCTGAAAGTTTTCATGCTGTGGCGGGCTGCCTGCACGGCACGATTCCCCCACCTCTTGGCGCCACCCTTGTTTTTGTACCGGACGAATCTGCGTACTTCGCACCTTGAAAACCGCTTAGCCACTTTCAACCGCCACTGGCATCAATCATCCATGTCAATCACGGAGAACCAACACGAGCTAACTCATCTTGAAACAAGCGTTTTCTACTCTGCTGTTGCAACTCTTCTATGTGCGGCCAAGCTGCATAGCATGCTCCGTGAGCATCAGGCTCCAGCCCCGCGGTGCTATGTCGCGAATGTATTTGCGCCATGGCTTCAATCTCTGCTCCAACCAGCCTTCAAAATCAACATTCTGCACACTACAATGAATCCAAAGCACTTGAACTGGGCACTGACTGCAGCTCAGAAGCAATGTACATCGCGAAGTTTTTCTTCCAAACTCTGCAATGGAAGGCCAGCGCAACAATCCTCTAACGCCTCCTCCGCCCCCGATCCCACTGTCGCTGACTCTTCAAGCCATGGCATATATACCTACCACAAGTCAGCATGTTTCCCTCAAAATCGCATCATGCAAAGAGTGCCTGCAAAATGTCACTGCACCGCCAATCTTAGCATATGCGTCAACCTCGACTCATGAATGATGAAATCCATAGCGGGCTCTTTGAACGTCATTACACAACTCTTGTTTAATCATCGAAGTAGTCGCCCTGATACAGCAAAATGAACTATTATGGAATAGCATGCAAAATAACGACGCAAAGCTTTCAGCCAAGCTGGCCTGAAGGTCGCGGTACAACAAGTACTGTAGAAACGAAGCATGCACCCGCAAATGCTTCTTCAAAAGCTTGTACACGGCCTTCTCCGTCTCGCATTGCGAGAGCTCTGCAGCCGCAACCTGGAATTTGCCTCGGATACAAACCGCATCGCGCCATGCTTGTTAAATCACAACCCCTGGCTTACATTGATTGAATTCTTTCTTCCACATCTCATCTTCGATTTCTTTCGAACATTCACTTAAAAGATCATCGCTGTATGTAGCACGCTCCAGCTCACATCTCCTCCCGCATATTCTTAATTTATCAACCAGAAGCTGTCACACTATCGCAAAACCGGAGAATGTTAACTATTCGAAAGAACGCTTCGGCTCCAGCGGCATTTGTTCGTTGTGCCCAGAAACCTGCATTCACCAGGGATACCAGCGCTTTGCCCGCTTCCACGGCTTGGACAAAAGAACCGCTCTTGCCGCGACTGCGGCGATCTTGGCCTCACAACCCAATGCATACACATGATTCGGCAACATTCCGCCGCCTGGGTGCGCATCTGCACTTGATGAATGGTACGGTATTTGAGACATTTAATTTGAAAAACTTATTATGCTTGAAACAAGGGCACGGCTAGCTTGAGCTATGCAACGCAAGCTTGATATATGATGCTAAACGCTTGCAAATGAAACCTATGGAATCTGATTTGCAAAGCCGGGGGCCCTGACTCCACTGTTGAAGCCTCTGAAGGGCAGTCCCAACACCAAGCTTCACCTTGGAAAGAGCAGCAATTGCATGCCCTGCTTGAAGGTTGCGACAGCGAACATGTGCCCAAAAAGAGGCGCCAGTCATCGCTGCATATCCGCTTACGAAGGTTTGGTAGACGCCGTCGCCTGACAGCATGTGATACAGTTTCTCAAACACCAAGAAACAACACATAGTGCATTTCACTATACCACCGTCACCAGGAACCACGATATGTATCAAAAGCTAGACAAAAACCTCTGCATCGGACACCAACCATCCAACAAATCAATCCCTGGATGGTTTCTTGCCGCAAAGGTGTTGCAGCTACAACTGAACTTAAACATACGCCAAGATTCCGTTAAATATCAATCGTTGCATCCAGTGCAGGGCCAGTTTCTCCCACAAGGGGCGACCAGTGGCTTCCTGCAGCAACACCCACCACCAAACCACCAAGTTTTCCTTTCACACAACGATTGTTTCAGGCGCTAAAACAAAAAGGAGCGAATGCCAACTTCGATCGTTTGTTTGCTACATCTTGCACATTGAGTTTGCCAGAGTCATTTAAATACACAACTTAACTCTCTCCAACTGCAAGCGTGCAAAATTATGCGCGCCAATGCTGCCAGGACACGGCAAAAGTCTCAAGAGACCCCAAATCCAGGTCGTAATTCACTTCACAGCGTTTGTGCGACACAAAAGCAGCTTCAGCTCTTAGTCTCTTCGCCGCCGGACTTAAAGACTCAATGCACTCTTGCTTCCTGAGCATGCACGCACATCATCTAAGTATTTGGTCCGCGTGCCAGGTTTGAAATGACATTGCACCACACATATGTATTGTATTTCGCCAATCACGACCCCAAGGTCCAAAACATTTGTGCCTATGAACGAAATAATGCCGCCCAGATTCCTTTTTGTGCCTTGCACTTTCCCCACTGTGTCCGCCAAGCACGCCTGAATCCAGGATAGCACATATTCTCTGGCGGCCTTGCGCTTCTGGGCCTGCCGCTCTGCCTGCTTCCTTGCCGCCCCTGATGTACCGCTTGGGCCACTAGGGCCACTGCATCCTGACCGGCCACTGCGGCCACTGCGGCCACTGGGCCTAGACCGGCCGCTCCGGCCGCTCTTCCCGCTTGGGCCGCTGGAACCAGAAGGAGCCGACATGCGCCGCCTGTCAACTTTGAACCGATGCACATGCATCACCATCTCAAGCAATGCATGAAAATGTGAAGGGATATATATGAGAGATGTCAAAAGTTCCTTAGCAACCTAAGATAGTATAGAGCAGTATACTGATATCTTTTGGAGATCTCTCAAATTGTCCATAGACGTATGAACAAAGAAATATGCAGAGAGACGTAAACACATACAAATTGTTAATCAACTCCAACCTTGCCCAGGCAATCCACGGGTCGCTGATACATACCTGGTAATCCTTAAACCTTCCATGTTAGTAACTAGCCAATGACCCGTTTGAGAACCCAATCTTTGATGATTAACAGTTTGTTAGCCTAAACACACGAGTTCTCCCGGGCAAGCCACGGGTCGCACACGCAAACCCAGGGATGATCAAACCTTCCATTCTTTGAACTGGCGAATGGTCCAGGAAGGCACACGACCGCAATAAAAACTTCCCACCACTACCGCCAAGCAACAGTCGCGCTCGCTTTTGTGGGCTGCGCGCTTTCCGCAGCGCCGCCCGCATGCTTCGCTTTTGAGCAGCAGTCCATGCCATGGCGTTGCTGGAACCAGTTGGTGCAGTGACAAACAGTCGTTGTTGTTGCAGCTTGTGGCATTCTTGTTCATGATCTTCTCGTGGTTGCCCTTGTTCTGGCTGTGTTGTGTCTTTTGTTGTTGTTGTTTTTTTGCGCTGGTGCTGTTCTTGTTCTTGTTCTTGTTCTTGTTCTTGTTGTTGTTGTTGTTGTTGTTGTTGCTGTTGTCGTGGTTGCTGTTGTCGTTTTTGTTGTTGTTGTTGTTGTTGTTGCTGTTGTTGTTGTTGTTGTTGTTCTTGTTCTTGTTCTTGTTCTTGTTGTTGTTGTTGTTGTTGTTGTTGTTGTTGTTGTTGGGCTCACGATTCAGCACCACTCGCCACAGCCGTGCGAGCTCATCCTTTATGGACTCCTAGCGGCTGCAAACAAAACATATGTTGAGCCTGTTGGAACTCCAGCGATTCTGAGTTACTTCAGAGCATCTTTCCGTCAGTTGTTCACCAGTTCCAGAAGCGAACACCTTGTATCGGAGTCTGCGCCAATCTACTGGAGGTGGTAGACGTGGCCATTCCTTGCTATGATGGCAATAGAAAGAGGTGGGAAAATCCTTGTTTCCAACAGACACAGCATCTGAAAGGCGGAAATTCTCCACGATGTTGGGTGATTTTTGCCAGTGAAACCACCTCTGTAAGTGTAAAAAGTTTGAGCCCCTGAGAGGATCACTGCATGAAGTACTCTGCCCCGAATGGACGTAGCTTCAGCCTCGTTGCCGAATGATTCATGGCTATCGGTGACATTTTGCGCTTCCAAATTTCAAAGAGATTCAAAGTTTGAGTTTCAAGCGAGAACAACAACAACAACAACAACAACAACAACAACAACAACATCAGGAACAACGACCATAACAGCAACAACATGCTGAAAGGCAGTACGTGGAAAGCAAATGCCACTGGGTCCGCGCGCGCGCGCGCCCCCAAAGCTTAATATGAGGGTCCGGGGGGCGCGCGCGCGCGCAGACCCAGTGTTGTGGTTGTTGTTCTTTGTCGTTCAGGTTTTGGTTGTTGTTGTTCTTCTTCTTCATCTTCTTTGTCGTTTGAGTTTTGGTTGTTGTTGTTGTTGTTGTTGTTGTTGTTCTTTGTCGCTGTGGTTTTGGTGATGTTGTTATTGTTGTTGTTGTTGTTCTTCTTCTTCTCCTTCTTCTTCTTGTTCTTCTTTGTCGTTTGGGTTTTGGTTATTGTTATTATTGTTATTGTTGTTGTTATTATTGTTATTACTGTTGTTGTTGTTGTTGTTCTTCTTCTTCTTCTTCGTCGTTGTGGTTTTGGTTATTGTTGTTGTGGTTGTTGTTGTTGTTGTTGTTGCTCTTCTTGTTGTCGCGCGGATCACTATCATCAAAAAAATGCACGCACACGCTACCCTGGATCACCGCTTCCGCCATGTTTCACTCAAACTGCCGCCTCACACATCGGGACACGCATGTCGTAGAGCCCCTGCATCATCGCCGCAGTTGCACATGGTTGACAGTGAATCTTATCGACCTTGCTGATCTTTGAACTCACAAACAAGTCAACCGCAACAAAGCTCCAGCACTACAATTGGAAAACATGTGCGTGGGTAATACTGCGCTCTCCTTTCCGTCTTACATTGCCCATCCACCCTCTTTTTCTATGCAGCACTGGGATTCAGGCATGTTTCGAAACGTGCCACCATTCACTCCAAATTGGTCTCAACCTTTCCACTGCAACCTCTGTACATCCCAGCCATGCCACACCGCGGCGCCAATCGTGAGACGATTGCACGCAGCGCTCGGTCTAAGACATCCTTTCAAAAGTCTCGCTTCTTGCCTGTACAACATTTCCCTGAAACCCATGCCGCTGCTCCATCTGCACAACGTTTAAACTCTACAAAGCAATTTGATGCACCAGAATTTTCTTATGATTTTTTGCGCACCACGATGTTCTCAAGTCTGAGTCTAAGTCTGCCGAGATCAAACAATGAATGAGGGGTTCCCTGAAAGCAACTGCGCAAACAAAGAAGAGAACGTAGCTAACTAGACTGCAAGTGGACCTTTGCTGTGCACTAAAGGTCTGGATGCAGCTCGGCACCCACGAATCAATTAAAATAAGCTGGCAGCGTCTGCCGCTCACATTATGTCAACCCGAGATGTCATATCTGCGAGACGCATCACTGATCCGCATTTCACAATGATATGGTCATCATAGACCCATGCAGATCCGGCCTCCCCTGGCCTGGAGTCAGGCTAGCCTGGGTGACCACAGAGAAGATGGCGAGCAGCGTATATTTCGAGCAATAGAGATCGTCTGCTTGCGAGCCATGGACGGTCACCGGAAGCACACCGCCCGCTTCATCTTGCAGCTCATAGGAACGCATCCCAATGCCATTCCGAGTGGTGCGCAAATCACCTGCTGATCGTACCACTCCCAATATGTTGGCCGTCAACCCCTCTTCACTCAAATCTTTGAAGGCTGCGGTCATCAAATCACGCACTGGTTTCATGACAAGGGGACCATGGTACAGGATCTTCACAGTAGTGGCCTTCGTGCTCTGCAGTTTGAAGACCCTGCCACAAATTGATGGCACCTCGACACGCTCCAGGTGGCTGACCTCCACATATGGGAAGTCTGCTTGCTCCATCGCTTTCTGCAGGGGCTCGGCACATTTCTCTGCCACTGGGCTCCACAAAGACGTAGAAATGGCCATTCCAGGCGAAGCCAAAATCATTGGAATCACATGTCGCACATTCCCTTTTTTGGACCCATTCAAAGTCTTCAGAAACCCGACATCTATCACTGCAGCTGTCAACGTCACTACTGCACGCTCTCGCCCCGCCGGTACCATGTACACAGCCTCCACGGATGTGCAGACCACAGCTGCAGGAGCAGCAGCAACTGCAGCAGCAATCCTGCCACAACTGCACCCAACACGGACCCTTGCAAGCTACAGCGGAAGAAAATTCAACTAGTGCAACAAGCCATTTGTCGCCCCTCCTCAAGCGCTTCTTGCGGGGAACCTCCACAGGGTTCAAGCGGCCCCGCTGCGCCATTCGCCCAGCCTGACTCGATCGGCTCATGTGGACTTTCCATACACACACGCACACAAAAACAAACACACACACACACTGTTGCACACACACACGCGCACACACACACACACTGATTCCAAACCACCTCAGGCCGCCGTTTCCTACCTCATTTTCTGCAACTCAAACCCCCCGTCCCCAGAAGTTAACGATCACATCTGCCCAGCTCCAACCCCACCTGGGCACTCTTCATTGTCAGCTCCGTCATGGTCCGGATCTACATCGATGGATGCCGACATTGCGCAGTATCAGGCTTAATCAGCAACGATTGTGTTGTGTCTGCGACTGGATGGGAAGCGCTGAGAGCCTGCCGGTTCAAAGTTCAAAAAACTAACAACAGCCTTCGGATAAAATCACCAAAACCATGTTGGCATCCATGCCGTGGGGGTTGATTTCCAAAAAGATTATTGGTCACAAAAGGAGCTGTATCATGATGCAACAAGGCGGATCCATCAATCCATCCATGCATCTGGTCTGCTGTCTGCACCGTGCCTTCGCTCATGAAACGGTATGTGATCAACCCAAAATAAGAGTCAGTTGAATTCCCGTTGCAAATTCTCATCAAGTGAATAGATGACAACATTACCATCTTCCAATCAGGCATGCCCCCATTGACACTTCCAACCTTCCACCACCCACTTTTCTGTTGGTTAGCTGCGCTGGGATTCAGGCATGTTTCGAAACGTGCCACCATTCGCCTCCAATCGGCTTCACTCTTTCACTGCCACACATCTGTATATCATGGCAATGGCATACCATGGCGCCAATCGTGTCAATGCATTTCACTTCTGAAACTTAGACTCTAAACTTTAAACTCGATGCCCGCTTACATTGCGACAACTTCAAACTAGTCCTTTGACGCCACTCCGCCGAAAACGCCACATTGCATACATAAAGCATCCTTTCAAAAGTCTTGCTTCTGGCCTGTACAACATTTCCCTGAAACCCATGCCGCTGCTGCATCTGTACAACATTCAAACTCCACAGGGCAATTTGACGAACCAGCATTTTCCTAAGCAAGTTTATGAGCCGGCATTTTCCAATGATTTTTTGCTCACCAATGACCACTGCCTCTGAAATTGTTCCGTGCTACTGTCTCAAAATCACGATGACAATCAGTTGACCAGTCTGCATGCCACCTTTTTTGACTGGTAGCCAACTACATCTGTCAGCTGGCCCAAAACATTCATCGTGATCACCATGGCTTCGATCTATGATCATGATCACCACACACAGCAGTTTTACGCCTCATTGTCTTCCGACTCCTCACCTTCGTCATCTTGGTTTGCATCCTCAAAGCGAAGACCACTCGCCTGCATCTTCTGGCTGTCGGATACCAGCGCCATAGCTTTCGAAGCGAACTTGCGGCCTTGGTCACACAACTGCCAGGTCTTGCAACAACAGCAACAAATCACAGAACAAGTGTTTGTTTACTTGCACTGGCATCCCAACTCAACACTTCCTGCTGCGTGGGACCATGCTGTGTGTCCTGCGACAAGGCACGTGACTTGGCCGAACCTCCAGTTCCTCGCAGCGCCAGGAGCTCCGTGGTCACCGATGCTGCTTTTTTCGCTGTCATGAGGTTCAATCGCTGTTCTTCTCTTGCTTCACGGAGAGCAATGTCTGCTGCCTGCGGCGTAACGCAACATGCAGCCAATAGTTCTGCATGCGTTGGAACCAAGGTTGGCTTGTTACTTTTGCAATAAACAAAAGATAGTTTGCGTTCAATCCATGTGAGCTGCATACTGCTATGTTCCTATGTTGTCACATATCCCGCTATTCCCACACCTGCCGCTGGGCATGGGCCGCCCCATTCATTAATCCTGGTTTGTCCCAGCTGTCCCAAACGGGTCGCCAACTCCGTAGTCTTCTCCATCGATGCCTCATTCTTCAGGACCACCTCAGTCATCCCGTCACCACCACCACAACACCACAGACATGCAGCGCAACCACCAACACCGTCAAACCTCAGCATTAAAAGCCTCAATCTTGCTTGTGCTACCAAGTAACATGAAGCACCCATCCAGCGGAGATCGGCACCGTCTTCCATACCCATTGCATATCGGACGCCAAAAGGCCGGAAACAATTGCACGATCATGTTTTCGATCACCGACTGCTGTGTTCAAGGCAATGGATATGGTCGCCATGCCCAAGAGATACACCAGATCAAATCTCGAGCCACACAACACCTGATGCACATACCTGTCTTGCCCTTCACATGTCGGCGGTGTCTACAGCTCGTTTCTCAATAAACACTCTGTAAATACCATTTCTGCTTGGAACTTGCATCGTACAAATAGCAAGTCTACCTGTTATAAAATGGTCCTTGACTCAGGATCGAAATCTACCACTATCTAGCTTTCACCCATGGCTCTTCCTTCGCAAACCCTTTCCCAAGCTCCACACCCCACCTCATAACACCAACGCCATGCTTCAGCTCCCAGCATGGGCAGCAACCGCCTCGCAAACTCACTAGGGATCCAGGTCATGCCATTACGTCGACTACCACCTGCGTGGACATTATATACGTTTTCGAATCGAGCTTCTGGCATTCTTGCAGAATATCGTCTGGGATCCTTTCTGGCACGCCTTCTGGTATTCTATCTGGTATATCTTCTAACATTGTAGCTGGTATATCTTCTGGCATTCTTTCTCGCATGCCTTCTGACATTCTTTCTGCTATATCTTCTCACATCCTTTCTGGCGCACCTTCCAACATTCTATCTCGAATATTTTCTCACTTTCTATCTGGGAGTCTTCTGGCATTCTATTTCGCATATCCGTCGCTTTTTTTCTCCTTTTTCGGCGCCTGTGGCTTAAGATGGGTCAACATGGGCCAACATAGGCTTCAAGATGGGCCAACATAGCCCCAAGATCAGGCAACATGGCCCCCAAGATGGGCCAACATAGCCCCAAGATGGGCCAACATAGCTCCAAGATGGGCCCACATAACCTCAAGCTGGGGCAACATAGCCCCCAAGATGGGCCAACATAGCCCCAAGATGGGCCAACATAGCCACAAGATAGGCCGCCGACCATCAAAATATCCTGCGTTTTACAGTGTTTTTTTTTGCTGTTCCCATTTTTCGGATCTTTTGGCTCAACATGAATCAACCTGAGGCCAACATAGGCCAACATAGCCACAAGATGGGCCCACATTGCCCGCAAGATAGACCAACATAGGCCAACATAGGCCAACATAGCCACAAAATGGGCCCACATAGTTGGGCCCCTGGCCGGCTGTCGCGCGTAAGCGCTTAAACCACATAGTTGGGCCCCTGGCCGGCTGTCGCGCGTAAGCGCTTAAATAGACTATATATACATGAACATCATGAACACAGTACATGAAAATTATATGAATGATAAAGTATCTGACAGTGAATCCTTTCCAAACGTTTGGGACCCAACGGTCTGGTTCTGTGTGTCTGTCTTTGTCTCTGTGTCTCGTGTTCATCACCATTACCATTGGTCACCATCATCATCGAAATACATAATCCTGGTATAAATCATAATATTTCACTAACCTGAATTCGGCCATTTGTGGCTGATTTACCTGAATACAGTAGTTCGGCCATTTGGGGATGATTATGATGATTTCCCTAAAATAAAAACCATGGACCATGATTCCAGTCAGCTTGCGACGTGAGGTCGTTCGAATTTACCCATCTGCCGAACATCCGCCCCTCACCTCGGGCAGATCCTGGAGATCCAGCCGTCGCAGTAAGGATGGCATGGGCACCTTTGGCAACTTTCGAATGGGGATAGGGAAACCATGGGAAACCATGGGGAGACCACATGGTTTTTCTCCAAAAAATGGGGGTTCCGGGGGTTCTGCGGACTTTCCGTTCAAACCAGTTCTCGGAAACTTGCGATCTTCCCATCACATGCCATCCATATCGCATAGCTCAAGGACCCCAAATGTAGAGATCCAGCACTGAATCAGGTGGATGCCTCCCATCCATAAATCCAAGCTGGAACCAGGACATCTAACTGTTGCGGCTGGGCAGCATCCACCGAAAGAAATTCCCCAAATCAACTGATCATGAGTTCAGAATCAGGAGAAGAAAAACAAGATGGTACAAATCCCCCCCCCTCCCCCCCACACCTAGAAATATTTCACCTCCCTAAAGTGAAATATTTCAGCTAAAAAAAATCTGGTCTATAATGATCTCTGGGCGTCGTTGAATTCAAGGCTGAATGTCATGTTCTGAAGGCTGTTTGGCAAGTTCACTCTCTTATTTACTTTCTTGGAAACCGGCAGTTACCATTTATCTAGTTGTGTGTTTGCGCGTGGGCCCTACCCGCGTAAGGACTAAAAAGGTCCAAAAAGGAACGGCGTCGGCGTGTAGAAGACGCGCACTCGTTTTACGCAAAATGAAAGGGTGTGTCATACCATCGCTGGGCTAAAATGTATAAAATGTGGCATCCGGAGGACCCCCCCCCACGTTTTTTCAAAGCCCAAAAAACACGTGGGGGGGATGTATATTTCACGTGGTCAGGTGAAATATTTCTCAGAAATTTCTTGCCTTACCCCCCCCCCAAATATTCCAGGGTTAAAGGGGGGGGGATTGGTACAACATGTCCCACAAAAACCCTGCTCCTCATGAACTTAGAATCGGAGATGCATTCCCACATATTCCCACCATTTTTCTGTTGGTTTCCCTCACAATTTGCCATAAAATGTTCCATCCAAAATGGGTCGTTGGTCCGCAGCACCTCGCCCTGTAGGCATCCATCCGACAAGATCGCCTTATCGGACTCAGCCAGGACCCCAAGGTCGGCCAGTTCAGCCAGGAGCCTCAGGAGCTGCTGGGATGATCCAGCCATGGAATACCAAGCTTGGGGACTCTCCAGTTCAAAGTTTCTCTACAAAGATTAAAAATTAAAAATAGATCTGTGGCAGAATTATACTTAAATTACATTAATTAAATCACCATCTAGTAATCCTACGTTCAACCTATGCCAAGTTGGGGGCTTAAATTAGCGCCTCCGTCGTGCTTGCCGCACCAAGCGCTGCGGCAGCAGCTTTCGCAGCAGCACCAGGCCCTCCGTCTGAAGCACCTCCCGGGCTCTTGACCAGGAGCTGCTGACCTGCGCAAGAAAACCCCAGTGGGGTAGGCTTCAACGTTGACCCAGGTCTAAGCTGCGGGTAATGAAAGATGGCTAAATCCAAAGAAGTATAGAGCATTGTCAGCATTGTCTTTTTTAATGAAAATAATTTATGATTTATGACAGTTCATTGAAAAAACAACCGAAAGTTTAAGAAAAAACAAAACTAGCTGGGAGTGATTGCCTCCACAAACATCCAATTCTAATTGGAAAGAACATGGGAGGTCAATCAAGTTCCGACACCCTAATTCCGTTCCATACAGTCTGCATGTTAAGGTTTATATAAAATATTGGTATTAACTCACCCTCAATTGTGGTGATGGGGTGAGCCACTAATCAACGTTTTACATACATTTATTGTAAACCGATTGAATGATACAGGTGAGCTCTACTCTATATAATTCTATTATAGTCTTTATTTCTTGGTAACTCCATCCCCTGATCAGATTAAATTTCAAATACCAACAATCTTTAGGACTAGGTGTTACTGTTAGGGGAAGGTCTTCATGTCATGGGAAAAGGATCTGACAAGGCCATCAAATCATGGTGGACCTCAGAAGGGCTGGGATTCGCGACGTGGACAACCACCTTGGCCATGGCGAGGTTTGATCCCCGGCTTCGTCGAGGCTGTCCTTCATCCCCACTTGTATCAGAAAGGGTCGTGGTATCTCGCCCGGTTGTGCCGGGGGAAAAGGGATGTCTCCTACCCATTCATTCCCATAGTTCAAAACCTCATGGTTGAAACCATGACAGCAGAATCATGGTACTGCAAAAGACTAGCCATAAGATTGAGGATCATGGCAAATCATCCCATTTTTTGAAACAAATCTTTGAACTCTTAAACAGTTGGAAAACTCTAAGTACTTCCTCCCCATTTGGGAATATGACTACGCCTAGTTCAACTAGTGCCTTAGCTCCCTCCTAACCGGATAGTACTTGAGCCCAGGGACCGTTCCGTGTTCGCATTCGATGTGCAGCTCCTTCGCTTTGGCTCCGCACTTTGCCGCGGGTTTTCGCCGAGGCGCAGACTTCATGGCGAAAGGCCGGATGGGGTTTCACCATCCCATTCACCAACAATGGGGGCTATTTGAATCATAGATCTAAACGAAGGTATGCCCGGTATGCCCAATTCAATAAATCAAGATTGGGGGATGGTTCATGTACATGATATGTACATGATGTACATGAATCATATGTGATCGCCCGTACATAAGGGCGTTAAAGAACTCACCCACCTGTAGACATGATGTTGGCTTCGCTTGTGCATGGAGACGTCCTGCTGATACAGAGCTGGCTCTGAAAATCACCCAAAATGCAGCTTAGATCAGCTTAGTTAGAGCATACCAATACACCTTGATAGTTGGTACTGCACGGGCGGTTTTGAAGTCCAGCTTGGACACATCTGAGAATCTGGACAAGATGTAGTGTTTGATCGTACTCTCAGCGGATATATATACAGTATACATTACATATCATGTACACACACACACACGCAAGAACATGCAAGAACGATGTGTGCACAAACGTCGTTTCAATTGCAAGCAACTTTGTGTAGCGACAGCGTCTACTTAGAGGATCATCCCAGGGATGGTCACTGATCTAACAACGGTTAGTAACCATAGTTGTAAGATGGTTTATATTTTTTTATAAGCCATATTAGTATAGCCACATGTGGGATAACCATGGATAACCCCGTATGATGGGGACTTACAAAAAATAACTTTATATAAGCTATTGCTCTGCACTGTCCACTGTTAACAGGGTCTCCAACGATGCACCAGCAGGGCCCCAGACAAGTCGCGAATCTCTGCTGGAGGTTGTGGGTTCTGCATGGCTTCTGCATGGCCCTGGCGCGCCTCTTAAAACTCTGGTGTCATCTTTCTCTCCAAGCGGTCAAGAGTCAACAGCGAAAGGATGCAAAATCACTGCAAGCCCACCCACTTCGTGGGGCGGTGTCCCATGGAGGAACCCTTGGAGTATCATCAATCTGTCACCCTTACTATGTGAAAAAGGCTTCTGTCTTGGCTATATCCCATGATTTGGAGAACAAAGTTGGGGTAGCCAGAAGATTGAATAGCATTTTACCCTGACCCAAATCTATGGAAAGTTCTGTCTCTCTCTTTCTCTCCTTTTGGAGATTTGGGGAACACATATCCTTGCACAAATATAGTTTTCAGTAGTGAATCTGTTCATGGGTTGAAGTCCCATTTGTGGGTGATCTACCTCCCGTGGGGTCACCTTTCTTACTGGCCATCGATGGCTAGTGAATTCAAAGTCTTAAAGTCCCCGCAGGTCTGGAAGAATATAAGTTCAATCGTTGAAATATAATAATCTAATATAAGATAATATAATAACATAATATAAATTAATATAATATAATATAATAACATATATAACATTAATGTAATAAAATACAATATAAATATATCAAATTATGTAGTGATGGAACCACCACACCAAGCAGTTACCGAAGTTGCTGAGCTCGTGAGATGATACTCCAAGCGCAAAACTACATCGGATCTCCCTGTCTCAAGTGGCGCTAACCGGCCCTAGCCAAGAAGAGGTACCACTTCCTCAGCGGGAGAACTGGGAAAATATGGGAAGCTACTCTGGCTGATCCTGGGAATATCTGGCAATCCTGGCCATTGTTCATTTGTTGGAAAAGTGGGCAAACATCTCCAGAGCGCCATTGTTTTGGTTTAAGTTTAAATACTGTAAACTGACAATCATGTACCGGTGAACTCGGCCGTTGAGGGCGCCCTTGCATTTCCTGAAGTGGAGTTGCGAGCCTGAACCACATTCAGCCAGTTTTTTTCGCCACCGGCACAGTCATCCTCCAAAACAACGATAGAAAAAGTACATCCTGACAAACTGGGTGATTTCAATTTACATCATGACTTACAGTAATTGTATCACTGGTTGGTGGTTTCAACCCCTCTGAAAAATATGAAAGTCAATGGGTGCCGGATGACATCCCATATATGGAAAAATAATCCAAATGTTCCAAACCACCAACCAAATATAGTATAGTATATCCGAGTATATCCATGGTTTCTGTGAGATTTTCCATTATTGTATCTAATTGTCCTATGATTGTTTTCGACTTTAGCCACAACGACCTGTTCCAGATCTGCCGCATTGTCCGGTGCTCCAAGGCGCAAATCTCCAGTCTCAGCTGCTTCCTTTTCCAGCGCCCAGGTTTCACGGGCCCAGAGGTAGTCATCTTTCAGTCTCCTGTTGGGGATACGACAGACGACAGATTATGGTGGTTTTTAGATCTTTAAACATGGCCTGAAAAGCCAGAAAGTTCCGAAAATTTGGGTTGGGAACTTGGGGGTCCAAAGATCTTGCCCTAAAAACATCTCCAGGAAATGGGTCTAAATTGGTCAAGTCACTGATGCTGAATGGTTTGCGCCCAAGAATCACATCTCGAGATGCATCCTTGACTATATATTGCAAGTAAGTCCAAATCAAATCACATGAGTATAGGGTTAAGCCGGTTAAGCCATTAGACACCCCCGATACAAATGAAGCTCAGTTCGTCCAAAGATATGAAAATGATCTGGATGTCAATATAAGTAAATTATAAATCTCTTCCCATAAATGGAGGTGTCCTAAATGCGGGGTACCGCCAAATCATCCGACATTAGACCATTTTCTCATTGAAACCCATGGTTTTTGGGGATCCCCCATTTTAAGAAACCCTCAAATGTAGGGTAAACATACTCTGGAGGCTTAGCAGCTCCCCAGTAGGAAGACATCAGGGCCTCCCAGTTGATGCCCCAAAAATTGAGTTTCCCACTCACTCTCCGATGCCAATGCCGCCTGGGTCAAGGGCTGTAGGGAAGGAACAATGGGGAAGAAAAATGGATGATCATGTGGAAAAACCACCGTTGGTCATATATCCCTATTGTATTCCATTATAGTGTTGGTTATATGTCCCTATCATCTCCTACCATAGTGTGGTTAAAGATACAATACATCCTCTATCCCAATTGCATCAGCCTGAAACATCCCCCATAACGTCACTCATTTAGGGAGTGGTTTAGCGGGTTGGGATTCATGAACCACGCCCAAACTCACCTGTGCGTGATGTAAGCTGGAGATGTGCTGGGTTCACATTAATCCAGAAGCCTTAGGACAGTTTAACAGTTTCCTGAAAATGGTCCCTTGAAACACTACTGGGACAAAACGCTCTAGTGTCAGTTTTTGCAACATAAATCACAAATTCCTTGGGTTTTGCTGCTAATTCACCCATCAGCATCCATCAGCCACCATGGCAATTTCAGATTCTGTCCGAGAATGAGGCGCCGGTAAATTCCAATGGATCACCATGACCTTTTCTGAATTTCATGGCCATGATTCAGTTGGGGGACCATATTTCTGGACAAAGCCAGAAACTTAAGTAGCAATTTCATGCAGTTTCTAGACTGGACTCCATTTTGGGGAGTCCATCCCTCCATTTACTGTCATTTGATAAGCTTTGAGGTCGCTATTTCATTTGCGTGCATTACATCTGCTGGGCAGATAGCGCACCTCATACAACTTCACTTTCTGCATGGCGGCCTGAGTTTGCCGATAAAAACATGTGACTTTGAAAGGATGAGTTTGGCAAGTTTATGTCAAAACTGGGGTTGAGACTCTAACTGGGAAAATTTTGGGTGTTACCCCAAAATAGTGATGAATTACTACTCAAGATTGGTACCCCCTATTGATAAACTGGAGGGGTTGTCAATCATTCATCATGTACATCTGCAAACCCCAATAAATTGGCCACCAAAAATTGACCCAGATATATACTGCACATTTATGAAACGTGAAACGGAGGGTTAAAATCCTCCACAGAGGAGGTAGAAACTAGGTTTCAGGTACTGCAGGATTTTTTTTACCTAAGCTCGATTTGTTAGTGTGGTAATTTCTGGTTCACTCATGTGCTAATTTCACTGAGCTGCAGTGTGGGGGGCCCGGTTGCGCAGAATTTGGGGTGCCCCCATGGAAAAAAATGATCCTTGAGGGGGAATTGCAAGATCCTAAACCAACAACTCAAACCAAAAGTAGTCACTAGCTGACCTCAGATTGAACGATCTGTATGCTAAAAAACATGATTCTACATTCTACATGATTATACGGTGGTTTCTGAACAGAATCATATCAATACAAGACTACCACCCTCGAAACTTGGTGCCTGCGACGCTTCTTCTACCACTTCTTCTGGTAGACTCTCCAGCGCGTCCTGCAAGTGTCTTCGCAGTTCCAGAAGTTCAATCACTGATTTCGTGCACATGTTTGCTGCTCCCTTTTTTCTCTCGCAAAATCCAACGGCTCCAACTGCTGGTTTTTGTTTCCCCTGAGAAAAAAAAGGAAACCAAGTGAGATCATCATTCCATGTCTAGGCCTGGAAAAACGATATGTATATGTATACACATATATATATATGTATATATATATGTATACATACATATAAATAAATATGTGTGTATATATGTGTGTATATATGTATGTATGTATGTATGTATGTATGTATGTATGTGTGTGTATGTATGTATGTATGTATGTATGTATGTATGTATGTATGTATGTATGTATGTATGTATGTATGTATGTATGTATGTATGTATGTATGTAAATATAAATGTAAATATAAATATAAATATAAATAAATATGTGTGTATGTATGTATGTATGTATGTATGTATGTATGTATGTATGTATGTATGTATGGATGTATGTATGCATGTATGCATGTATGCATGTATGCATGTATGCATGTATGCATGTATGCATGTATGCATGTATGCATGGCATGCATGGATGCATGGATGCATGGATGCATGTGCATGGATGCATGGATGCATGGATGCATGGATGCATGGATGCATGTATGCATGTATGCATGTATGCATGTATGCATGTATGCATGTATGCATGTATGCATGTATGCATGTATGCATGTATGCATGTATGCATGTATGCATGCATGCATGTATGCATGTATGCATGTATGCATCTGTATGCTGTATGCATGCATGCATGCATGCATGTGTCTGTATGTCTGTATGTATGTATGCATGTATGCATGCATGGATGGATGTGTGCATGTGTGCATGTGTGCATGTGTGTATGTGTGTGTGTGTATGTGTGTATGTGTGTATGTATGTATGTGTCTATGTGTGTTTTTACGTACGTACGTATGTATGTATTTATATTACATGCAATCTAGGACTTGAACGCATCAATCGGTTTATTTCTGACAGTTGGGACCTTGTTTAAGTTGGGCCTTTTTATTCAAGTCGTTGTGGCTGTCGCCCAGTCCTTCACACCACTTTCCAGGCGTGACATGTCCATCTGGCTGCTTTTCCACCTAGCTCCGAACAGCTCCCTCCACCACCGGAGAGTTTTTCACATCATCCAAAATCATCAACAACTACCCTCTGGTAATTTAACATAGCTATTGAAAATTGCTATTTATAGTGGATTTTCCCATTAAAAATTGTGATTTTCCATAGCTATGGGTAGATGGATGAGCCATCACGTATCACTGAAGGCCCACTACTACGTGCAGGATGATATAAACAATAATGGGATACGATGATTAAAACATATAATAACCACAGTGGTGGATGATATAAACAATAACACTTATAGAAGATTCATGTAATAAGATACTAAATTATAACCATTAAGTTGCTGATATAACATTGATATAACCATCCATAACAATCTGGTTGGTGGTTTCAACCCCTCTGAAAAATATTAGTCAGTTGGAATTATTCTTCCCAATATATGGAAATATAAAAAATATTCCAAACCACCAACCAGTGGAATATGGTAAAAACTACTAAACTATGGTGAATTGAACATGAAATGTTATAACCATCAATATTATAACCATCTATAACAATTACATCTTCTTTTTATAACCGTTTTTCCTTCCTTAAACCGACTCAACCCCCTTGGGAAGCCCGACGACTTGGGACCCAGGGACTGCTCGATGTTCTCAAGCCCCTGGTGCGATGGCTCTCATTACGTAAGTAGAGCTTCACCTCATCGAAAACCGGGGGTTTTAACCATCTATTTGGGTAAATTATCATATTTTTATATTTTTTTTACTAAAAAAACCAGAGTTTTAACCAACTAACCTGAAATGTTGGGCCATTTGGGGATGATTTCCCATATAAAAACCATGGTTCCAGTGAGGGAGACCAGTGCGGTCGTTATAATTTACCCAGATCTATAACTAGGGAAATCTGGAAAAACATGTTGAAAAGCGTCTATCACATGAGAAAACATTGGAAATCAAGGAGAAAACCATCTATAAACGGGAAAATGATTGGAAACACATAGGAAAACCCATCAATGGGAGTATCATTGAGGATCATTTGTGGAATATTCAATGGGATATTGGTGGCTATGGTATACCCGGATCCCCCGCAGACCAGAAATTTGGTCTGAAGTAGTTTAAAATTCTCGTCTGAAGTGGTTTTGCTCAATTTTCACCAACACATTCAACAACATATATTTTTTATATAATCATAAGAAAAAATAAGACATGATAACTTCAGGTTTTGTCCAGGTTACATAATCATAAGGTATACCGGTATACTCCTACCCAAGGAACGCTTCATGAAATGGGGCCACCACCACCTCAAATTCCCTAAAGTGAATGGACCATCATGAATTTCCACACTGTGGTTGAAAAAAGGGAATAATCACATTCCCACTATCTCACCAAAATCGTTCCCAACATGTTTGAATTTGTCAACCGGTTTTATTTTAATGACCCTCGGGAATTCTTGCCTGAATGCCGGGTATTCTTGCCCAATTTTTTTTGCAAAAAAAACGGGTAAAATGTCACAATGTGCTTGAAATGTTCGGACATGTTCAAAAATAATTTTGAAAAACATCACAATTCATTTGGGTGCCCCAAACAGATCCCACCAAACATGTTCAGGGCTTTGAGCCCCAGCACCCGGGCACATTCTCAGGTCAGCACATGTGCCAACTTTTACAGTACCCTTCCAATTTTTAAACGCATTCAAGCTGAAGCAGGAGTTATCAGGTGAAAATGTTCATGAATTGAATTCGTGCCTGCAAATAAGCTACAGGAATTCTCGCCTGAATTGGATTTCTCGCCTGCAGTCTATTTATCTGCCCGATTGTGAAAAAGTCTACTTCCTCTGTTCAGCCCAAAATATCAGCCTGAATGGTGATCTAGGTCTAGGTATAGATGGCCCACTTATGAGTGGTGATTTCCCATGGTTACGTTGCCAGAGGCTAGGCTTCCTATCCCTCCAGATCGGTCTCCCTCATTTTTCGTGGTGAAAGCGGAGTTTTCTTGCTCAAAATAATATTATATATATATACTATATACCTATAGATGTTACTGAGGGTCTTGTTTTTTGCCCCTTAGCCCAAATCTGCCTTTTTAATCCTTTTTATCTAACAGGCGTTTTTTGACTTTTGGAGCGTTCTATCATTACAGATGTCGTTTAGTAGGTTTGACGCCAGTTTCCTGTTAAAGTTCCAAGATGGTTCAGGGGCAAGGCTGAATAATTAACTAATCACAGAACCTTCATCGCCGGGTGAAGCTGTGCTTATGGGCTGCTACTGCATGAAGCAGCTGCGCAGAGTATGCATCATATATAAGATTCGATTATCATGGCATGATGGGTTTAACATCAAATGCTGAGACGAATGACCAGTCTTGTTTATGGCATAATCAGTTCCTGACCATAAAAAGCCCGGGATCATCTAATTAGTATGATAAGGTATGGTATGGCATAACAAGGTGTCATTTTCGCCAAAATCCTGACCCTTTTCAGGGGCGTAATTTGCCGGGAAAAAGGCGTCATTTTCCGAAATTGGGAGCCACCCATGTTCAATTTCGCAATTCCATTTTGTTCAGGAGTGATACGGGTCAAAAACCATGGGCGCACACAACGCACACAATCAGATGGAGCAATGCAGCAATCCTGTTCTGAATTCTTTGACACCGGGACGATGTCTCCCCCTTCACCTGTCTTTGGATTCATGGGTTTTCTTGTCAAGCAGCTTGGCACTTTTTCATGTCATTCTAGCAACTTGCTCATCCCACACTGGTAAATCATGCATGCTCTTCAGTCGCTGATTTGGTGCTAGTAGCAGGCACCAACAGTGGTAGCATTGGAATCACAACTTGGATTCAAACTACTTGGATATGATTCAGGGATGATCTTCCAAGGGCACTTGTCTTGCTCAAGAAAACTGCCAGGGGCGTTTTTCTATTGTAAGGGGCTGAAAATTTGTACTCTTAGCTAACTAAGAGGCCAAAATTTAGCATGGTGGATTTTGCAGATATATATATATATATATATGGACGGATATATTCAAACATTACATTACGATCAACGGAATGAACTTCGACCTTGCGAATTTCTATCCGTTTTATTCAGGGAGAAAAAGTCCGGTCTCCCAAGCCCAACTGGCAACCGCCTCCTCCATGTATTTGATGAAGCTCGCAGTCAGATCCTGGAAATCCGTCTGGTGTTCTATTGCTTGCCACCAAAACATAGCCACGGTATAGATGGCCCATAGAAATAGATGGTTTACGGTTTACCGATTAAAAATGGTGATTTTCCATGGCTATGTTAAAGAACCAGATGGTATCACTTCTCTAGCTAGAGATTTGCTACAGGAAACTGTGGCCGTATTACTATCCAAAAGCTGTAGAATGCTGTAGGTTGATTGAAGGAAACCACTTACCTGTCACAATCTAAGACCATGTAATTAACCGTTTTACCGGACATGTTCGACTTTCGCGTCTTTTCGTCTCATAAAAAATATAAAAACAGATTCGACTTCTCTGGCATCGACGAGTCGCAGCTCCTGACTTTCCACCTGAAAATAGTTCTTCAGCAGTTCTTCATTCTCCGCCGGGGGGATGCACTCATAATGCCTGGAAATGACTCGGTAATGACCCACATGCCGCGGTTTTGGAAAGCCAGCATGTTCAACAGGTCAATCATCAAGCCAAACGGGGCCCATGTTGCCCATGTTCCATTGCGTTTTGGACGTAAAGATCATAAAACAGCTCATTGGAGGCTCGAACCAGAAACACGACTTGTGACCTGCAATGAGGTTGGAAACATGTGGAACCTCTTGCTGAATGCCCTTGATCCCCTGCTTTCAGGGCGTGATGTAATTCCCCACTGTGCTGAGAATCAATCGATTTTTCACTGCCACAGCAAGGTTTACCCATAGTTTGACGCTTAACTCTCAAAACCTCAACAATTGCTTTATCATGTTAAAGTGGCTTCGTTGATGGGTCTATATAATCATTCTAGAAGCCACGTATGAGTGCTTCTTCATTTCCCATATCCCCAATCATGTCCCTATAGTTGCTCCAAAAAAAAATTAACATCTTCCAATATCAAATCAACATGTTTGCGGCCCACAAAAAAAAAATAAGTCAGCGTGAATGCCCCCTCACTCTCAGTGGGGAAACTCCAAGACTTCTAAGTAACTCCTTACTGCCATGCATTTCATAAAGAATAGCATTGAATAGCATTGAATAGCCCTAGCCCTAGCCCTAGCCCTAGCTCAGCTGCTCCCTCCGTTGGGAGTCCGCGCCATCTGTGGCAGTGCTCCTGAAAAGTCGCGGAGAGCTCCTTCTGTCCAGCGCAGTAGTCCAGCACCACCAGGCATCCACCAGGCCTGCCAGTTCATATGCCTGGTAAGTCTCCTCATTGAGTAAAAAATCAAGTGACCATCCGAACACAAGCACACAAAAAAAATTACCAATTGATCAATTTGCACGCATATGAAAATACCTTATTCAAACAACATTGGAGGGTTAAGGCATCTTCCTATAATTTGCCATACGCGTACCCTCTGGTAGCCTACCAAATCTAATGGTAAAGCACCATTTCAGATAAATCATCGAGCCAGCCACACGGGCCAATCTCCATATAGCTGTGCTCAGTTCCCAGACTTCATGTTGCCCGCGCCTCAGCAGTTGTTTGATCTTCCTCAAAATCACGGCTTTATCCTCGCGGTCCAAATACATCAAGGTCTCCCGAAGGATCACCAAGTCGAAAATGTTGGGAGGGTAGCGCAGTTCATTCTCCTGGTGGCGGGTTGGCCGCCCTGCCATAGGTTGGAGGAAGATCTGCCAGACTCAGAAACAAAAGGTGTTTGTTCACCAAAATGCGCATGAACATGTTCACCAACAAAAAAGAGAGAGGGGAGGCAAGTCTTGCACTAGCTCCTGGAGCTGGGACAGAGACATAGATGATCATAGATGGGATAACATTTGACAACACAATTGGAAATGTGAGGCTGTGACGCTGTGAAAGGGAGAAATCTCACCTTACTTCCCACTATCATCCAAAAGAGAAAACTCCGAAACACATCTCAAACATTCTCAAAATATGTTATATAAAGGACCATTGAGGTCTCCCATCTGCAAGAGTTCAAGAATTCTACTATGAATAAACAGCCATTCACCAAAGTGAGCAATGATAATCACAAAAATGTCTGCTGATGGTTCATAAAACCATTCTCTTCCAATGCATAATCTACCAAACCCCCAGAAGGATGCACACATCGGAATATCAGGCAGATATCCGCAACCAAAATGTGGGATTTCTTGTGGTCTCTCCATGTTTCTTCAACTCTGGAGGGATATCATCTTCTCCGCTGAAACCTCCTGGCTCAACCCCACCCACCCAGCCGGTTCTCCGGTACGCCACACTCAGGCGTGAGTTCAAAGCTCACCCGGTCGCGCAAGTCTGTTGGCACCTAGCAGAACCCAAACCTTTGAGGAGAAGTCAATTTTTTTTCGCCCCAAAAACTAATTATACATGATTCATCTTTTTCGGATTTTATCTGGGCAAATTATAATAATTCACTAATCTGAATTAAGGCCATTTGGGGACGATTCCCCTTACTAACCATGATTTCCAGTGAGGTCGTAGTGAGGTCGTTATAATTTACCCAGATTTTATCAACAATTTAGGGTAGGGTGTTACCTACTTTCCCATCAGTTGGGAATAGTTGGGATCCAAGGCCTCGCGCGCGGGGAACCCCCAGATTTCTCGGGTTGTTTTTTTTGGATGGGGCCTCTGCCCATATGACATGATAAGTCATGATATCTGATATCACATCATATCACCATATATATCAATATATCAATTATATTACAGTACCATTTATCCATGTTTTCCCTGAGGGGGAAACTGCTCCGTTTCGACTGGAATGAAGGGACATCTTTCTCCTTTTGCTGGTCATTGAAGGGGCCGCTGCAAGTCTCAACTTCACCATCCAAAAACAAGGAAGGCACCGCCATACTTTGTGGATGTTCATTCATTTCAGGCATGTTTGTATAAAGGCCACCAAGTCCATATATATCCAGCACACTTACCATCAATTGCCCCCAGGTCACTCCTTCCTTCAACCCGTCAAGTTCCACTTCCTGCATTTCTTCCTTGGTATTTCATTCTGGCTGTTGGGGCACACCTATCTGGTGTGCTTGAAACTGCTGTGAAACAGGTGAAACGTCTCTGTGAACGACCTGGGACCACGGGAAGTGGCCAACAACTGGACCTTGCATCATGGGCTGCAGGACGGCCAGTACGTCTGGTTTGACAGCGCGCCTGGCAAGAGCAGTATCACACTAACTAGGCTATACTATATATACAACCTAGTATTGAATGTACCCTAACCAAGTAGTATACTACACAAATATATGCATATATACCTATAAACTCATTATTTATTCAATTATGATTCTCTGATATTGTGTTATATATAATGCTATCTTTAGCATTCTGTCATGACACTGACGATGTGCAAGTAATCCATTATAATGGTAGTTTAGGTTTGTTTAAATTTCCGGCTGCGCCTATTTCCCATGCTATTTGCAGCATTTTGGAACTGGAACCTTCCATTTTCCATGCTATTTGCAGCAGTTGGAAGCTGGAACCTTCCATTTTGCAAGCCATTTGCAACATCTTGGAGAGAAGGGTATACTAACTTTATAGAGCTACGGAAATTGCCACCTTTAACTGGTAAATCAACGAATTAAATAGGCCATCTACACATAGCTGTGTGAAACTACCGGAGGGTTTGTTAGCTGTATAGGCAACAAAGGTTGATATAATATCACCATATAAAACTATACTATGTTTGTTGAACAGTTTACAAACTAATTATATAACAGTGATTAACATTAAACTGTTGACTGTTATCAACTAAATACTGCTCTACACTGCTATGTACACCGTTTAACAGTAGTAACCGTTTTGTAATAACAGAGGTTAACAGCAATACTACATTGTCAATATCAGTTAGACTACATTGCCATTACATTAACAGAAACACTAATAATTACACTGTTGAAGTGGTACGTCACTATGTTATAATCTTGATAAAGCAATGTCAACATTCCACCCATATGTTGATGGTTTATACCGTCAATTTATGGTAGATTCGGGGATGGAAATCCTCCAACTAAACTCAGAGCTTTCCAATTAATGATAACCATAAACCATCACCATTAACCATCATGAAAATGTGGTTTATCTTCGTGGTTATGAAAAGCTGAAAAAATAGTATTAAGCCAGTTAAATCACCATTAATTAAACCCATTAAACCATCATGAATTCATCATTAAACACTGATAATTCATCAACTCACACCATAAATGGTACTAAAACTATCAATGCTACTAATACATACTATTACTATGAATACAATTTAATTTACAGTATGTATATTTATGTAACCATTACACGGTACTATTACAAACTATTACTATAAATATCATGGATATCATCGATGGCGTGATTCTAGTACCATTTCACCATACTGTTACTATTCCATACCTGGAACTATAAATATACTATACTATATGCTATAAATGGTACTATATACTATACTATATACTATAAATGGTACTAATTATCACTATATAAATTAGCTATAAAGTCTATAAATATACTATACTATATACTATGAATGGTACTAAAACATATTAAAACTAACAAGTGGTACCATTACTTCATAAATATCTATCAATTACTGGTAAACATACTAACATAACTATGGAAAATCGCCATTTTCAATGGGTAAATCCACTATAAAAATTTAACATAGCTATGGAAAATCACGATTTTTAATGGAAAAACTCACTATAAATGGCCATTTTCAATAGCTATGTTGGTTTACCAAAGGCTATCAATGGTGGGTTTCCGTCGGACCCGCGGCCTTGGATCAGGCGCCAGCGGCCTGCGCCGCAAAGCGCCGCAGCAGCGCCTCCACAGCGGCGCAGCCGCGGCGCCGCGCCAAGTGATGCGCCGTGTGGCCGTCCTCGTCCACGGCGCTGACGTCCGCGCCTGGAACTGGTCAACGTTTACAAATATATGGTTTACCTATTAAAAATGGGTGGATTTTCTATAGTCATTAACTATATGATGATATATGATCATTACCCTCTGGTAAACATACAAAAAACTATGGAAAACCCACCATTATCAATAGGTAAATCAACTATTTCTATGGCCATTTTCAATAGCTTTATATTACCAGAGGGTATATCATCATATAGTAAACTAACAGTCTGCTATGGTTAAGTATATGACTATAGTAATATCACTAATATATCCACGATATAATGGAATATCCATATATACCTGGTTGGAAGCCATGGCCCATAGAAATATGGTTTACCTATATTAAAAATGGGTGGATTTTCTATAGTCATTAACTATATGATGATATATGATCATTACCCTCTGGTAAACATACAAAAAACTATGGAAAACCACGATTTTTAATAGGTAAAACAGCTATAAATATCCAAGATTAATTTGGTATTATCATAACTGGTTGGTGGTTTCAACCATCTTGAAAAATATGAAAGTCAATGGGAAGGATGACATCCCATATATGAAATGGAAAATAAAAAATGTTTGAAACCACCATATAGTTAAGAACATATATCATCATATAGTTAATGATCACATATCATCATATAGTTTTTCTACGTTTTTCAAATAGTTGTTCTATGTTTTTCTATGTTTTTTCTCCCATGTTTCTCCCATCTTTTGTGGTGATTGGAATTGGAATGACTCGATAGAAATCTGACCGGAAATCATTGTTTTAACTCCAAAAAGTCTGGGATAAGGAATCTTGGAAGATTGGGTCATGATGGTTCAGATGTTCATATCATGAGTACATGTGTTTTAGTTTTGGTGCGACTGGAGAAATATTGTTTAAAAATACAAATTGGATCAAATTCACATATCATAACGTAACATATAGAATATTACAGAAATATCCGTGCGGTATGTATGTTGTATGTCATCAAATGATCTTTTGGTTCAACAAGTATGAAACGATGTTTATCTTTGAACTTCCTTAAGTCGCCAAAACACGGAAACGAGAAAACTATCCAAATACATAGCCTCATTGGGATTGCGTATATAAAGGTATTGTCACATGATCGGCATGCAAAATATGCCAATCATCACAACATTATGATTCCGGCCAAGTCCAGCCACGTTTGGACGCTTCAAGACTCACGGAAGTTCGAGTAAAATATGCATTGAAGAACATCCAACTCTTCATGGCAATGCCAAGGATGCGTTGGCGCACGCTTCACCCACAAAACAAGGCAGGTACTGCAAAACCATCCAACACCTCCTAGGATTTTAGATTAAAAAAATTAGAAACTATGACACACATTTTTTCCCGGATGATATCTGCTATTTTTGGGACATCTCAGTTGTGCGCAAAAAGGGGCCCCCGCCTTGTTTGAGCAACCATTCGACCACCTCGGTGTGCCCTTCCGCGCTGGCTGCATGCAAGGGAGTCCATTGACAGCTGTCACGTTCTTTGACATCGGAACCAGTTTCTAAGAGCCATTTGCCTTGGCGACTGGAGATGACTGGAGGGCCACGACTGGAACCCCTGAAAACCTGGACCCCTTTTGGGTTTGGAATAAAAATCTTCTGTCTTGAATATCACAATTTTGAGGTTCCATATGCCATAGTAGGTCGAATTTGTGTCATATTTCTGCGATATTCAGAGACCAAACTTTTCTTCTGGGCAGAGGTGCAGCAACTTGAATCATACGTCACCGTACGTCATGCATTCATTCCAGGAGCGTGCAAATGATTGAAGGAGCCTTTGATCATGACCAAATGTTCAATAGCCACTCTCACTACTGGTTTACCAGCTTTGTGGCACAGCTTCTTGGTGTCTCCAACCTGAAACCTCCAGACCTTTGTTGCAATTCCATGCCAAATTCTCATCAGAAACAAAACTTCCAACGTTAATTATACCCTCCGGCAATCTAGAAATATCTGAATCTATATAGACCTTGCAATGAGAGAAACTCACCTATCAGCTATGATGCCGTGTTGTTCCTTTGCCTGGTTAGACTACAAGAGGGTAGATGGGTTAGGTTTGTCTCAAAATATTGCACCCAAAAATTGCTTTCTTGATCATGCATTGTCCTAGTATTTTGCTGTATTCAGCATTCCACATTTTATAAAACATGTCTGTGCAAATGAACTTAGCCTAACTAGAATCCATTCTGGAATGATTCTCCTTGTTCCCCATCAGGTATGGTGATGTGGTTTTGAGGACGCTAAACCACTAAACCACTAAACCACTGATTCATCATCGGTTTCCCTATAAAAAAAGAATGCCATCCTGGTGGATCCCAGCCATTTGTTTGGGCTGATTTATCGACCGCAGTCATGGTTTATGATTGGCTTGGAGAAATCCTCATGAGACTAGTTGGTTGATAGGGGAACCCATGGGAAGCCTAATTCCACTGGATCATTTTCAAAATGTTTCCTATGAAATTTTTGCACTTTGCATCCCCAATTTTCAAACCCCTGTGGGTTCTCATCTTCCCCAAGAAATCAGGTCGTAGAAGTCCCCAAGGACCTTTCCGGCTCCAGGTTGGACGCCCAGCCACACATCTCCAGGTGTCCGCCCAGTGCGGCCAAGGTCATGGCTTTTCGCTTGGTCCTGGGGTGCTGGTTTCGCCACCCAACCATGGAAGCGGATGAGTTGTTGGACACGGATGTAGACTCACACTATACCACATTAATATCCCTCAGTGATTGAAACACATTTGATTTAATACTGAGTGATTGGATAGTTGTTCATGAGTTATGGGATATTCATACTTTTTTTGGGGTAACGGATCCAAATATTGGCTACTATACTGAAATATCAACTTGTCCGATGATTATTCTGGACTTATCTGAGATCATTGGATAAGTTACTGGCATGTTGCAAACATTGGAACGTGTTTGTTCTCTAAAGTCAGGTGGGATAAGCTGGGAGCGTTCAACAACACAGACACAAAAAACAAAGCATACAATACAAACATGCTGTTCAAAAGGCTCCTAACATCCCCCAAGTAACTCTATTGAAATAACTAAACTGGTCTGGGGGGTGTCTGGACGGAAAAAAATTGATTTCAATCATCAAAATCCAGCTTTTGTTGGTGAATTCTATGATTTCTATGGTTCTTTTTCTCGGGTCAAATCCTATTCAGGCAAGGCTCAACTCCAATCTCTGCTGCTTCCTTTGAAATCCCATGGGTTTTTCTCTGGGTGACATCCCAATTTCTTTGGTGTTTGTATGTGCTTGAGTCCAGGCCTTTTTTGCCCCCAAAAAGATCCCAGTCCTGTCTTCTTCCTTCGACAAGTCAATACCCTGCGCCTCCGCCGCATCTCGCAACTCTCGCGCGCACAGCAACTGACCATTACTGCAGGCCACCTCAGCTGTGGCCCTGTGGCCTACCCGGCCTACCCAAAAATATCACTACCTTGACTCTCAAAGTACCTAAGAACATGGAGAGAGAGAGAGAGAGAGATGAATGTTAATATACATATATACATAGTCAAAAAAAACAATGATCATAATAAATAATATAATAACAAGAATAATAACACTAATAATAACAACAATAATAACAACAATAACCATAAAAACAAATGTAATAGTAGTACTGTATGCATATAATACATATTACACACATATATACAAATATGTATTCATATATTATATGATATATATATATATATATCATATTCAGATACTATATTGAATATAATATTGCATGTTATATTATATAATATTATATTTATTATATAATTTCAATATTATTTATATTATATAATATTGTATAACATTATATTTTATAGACTATATTATATATATATATATTATATATATATTATTATATTATGTATAATGAAAGAGTACTTGGAGGGTCGAGTGGGTGCAGTTCCACTTCATCAGTGGGTGCAGTGGTCTTTGATGAAGTAGGGGCCCCATATCCCAACTTTTGGAGGTTACGACGATGGTTATCCCCAATAGTAATCCCGACTGCACCACAAGGATTAGATCATGAGGAAGAAACCATCACTTGGATTTGCTTAGATTCGGAAAAAAAAAAGTGGGTTAACCAATGGGACAATACAAAATCATCTTCAGCAAATTCGAGATCCAAATATGATGATATAAATGGAAATATAAATGGATAATATTCATGGGGGGGTCACCATCAAATTCTTTTTTTTTTACTCTCAAAAATTGCAATTTCCCACAATACCAAAGCAGCACTGGTCTAGTATTGGACCTATTATACCTATTCATAGTGGGTATGGAATATCAGGGCGATGGTATTCTCAAACATAACAACTAGAATTACAGTTGCAAGAACCGTTAACCTACTTGCCAACCACAAATTCTGGATGTCCAGCCATGATCTTCGATTCAGAGATTCAATCGCAATTTTCTATCGGATTCTATCGCAATCTTCGATGATGAAATCGCAATATTTGATTGCGATTTATCCCCATTTTTCATGGTGAAATCCCAATTTTTCATGATACCATCCGCATTTTTCACAATTCAATCCCCGTTTTTCCATGGTCAACTCCAAATCAACCACATTTCCAGGGCCAAAAATTGGCGTCCACGGCACCAGCCACGCGCCGCGGCCATCCCCCTGACGTCCCGCCAGCGCCCGGCGCAACGCTTCGCCATCGCCAGCCAGGTCCGACAGCAGCAGCCGAAGGACCTCCTGGTGACCCTCCGCGGCCAGTTGCAGAGGTGTCACTCCTTTGGAGGCGCCGGTGTTTCGTTGTTGTTTTTTTGGAGAACAAAATGGTAGGTGATTCAGTGATAGGTGCTTTTTGTTGAGGGTTGTTTGAATGATGTTTGAAGTCAATGGTGTATTCATGAGTCAATGCTCAATCATTGATAGTTGTTGATAAGTCAATGGGTAAAGTGATGGGATGTTTAATCGGTTTAATGATATGATGGGATTTAATATGATTTATCATGGTATCTTTGAATGGATTTAATGGCGTACCATGGCGTACCAATGGTACTTACGGATTAGACTGCGCCGAGGTTCCAAAGTCTAAAGCTTCTTGGGGATCAGCCCTTGCTTCCATCAAAAAGCGGCACACTTCAGCATGGCCGCCCTTGATGCCCAAGTGCACTGCAGTGGCACCTTCCCAATCCTCACAGCGAAAGCGAAATCAGCCGGAAAACAAAATGAAACACAACTTGGGGCTGCAACGATCAGCAGTTCAATAGAGTAAAGGACATACAACGATGTATAAGTATACATAAATATATTCATGATATGCATAGGTTTTTTCAATTTCAATTTTCCACTTACAACTCCCTTTTTTCCACCCCGCAACTCCCAACCCTGGAAAACAATCACCGCAAATCATAGTATAGTGTAAATATCTCATGAGTCTCTTGCATTCACATGGTTTTCCATGGTTCGCTTGTGTTAGCTTCCTCTTTTTGAACCAAAGCCCAAACCCCCCAATGAATTGTCCCCCCAAACCCTAAACCCCCCTAGGAAAAAAAAACATGGACATTCCAACCGCCACCCAAGGTGAGACACAATAATAGATGGTGATGTTAATAAGACCATTCGTAATTGTGAATCTTGAACATGCAATATAGATATTATTCAATCTTCTCATCATTAAAAATCTATTGGCGTAATCCATTATCAATATGAAGACGTACTCGTTCATTTTTAAGCCCCTTTCCCATCAAAGGTAATCCCTCCAAGTAACGGCTATTTTTTAATGGCTTATAACCCAATTACTCATCAGTTAACTAATCCCATGGCCCATCTAAGTTGTGACCCATGAACATTGCCAATCTTAGATACCCTGCACAAAGAATTAATCGCTGGTTAGTAGATACTCATAGATAAGACTCTTTATAGCATATATATATATGCGTATAAAGGATCAGCAACTTGGTCATGGTCATTGACTTGGATGATTTGGGTCTACCCCTACCCCGATTCCTGAAACCTCCAAATCACCTCGCAGCTCCTGACTCTTGATCAGCACCTCCGATGTCGCCGCCGCCAGCAGGGCTCGACAGGCCTCCAGCGTGCCCTGCTGCGCCGCCGCGTGCAGCGCGGTTTTCTCACTGTCGTTGCACTGCTCCGGGCGGAGGCCCTGAGGTTTCAAGAGGGTCCTAGAGGTCCAAGAAAATTCAGCACGGATGTTTTTTCTGAGATTTACCCGGCCTGGTGAACTAACATTTGCTATGGAAAATCACCATTCTTAATGGGAAAATCCACTATTTCTATAGCCATTTTCCATTGCTATGTTAGTTCACCAGAGGGTAATTCAATGTCCTTTTTGTTTCCAGCAGTCTGCAGGGGTGCTGTGGTTTTGAGGAGGAAAATTGGAACTAGAAAAAATTAGCATCTTAACCGACCAAAATTGTATAAGACAACAAAATCAGGATGTTAAACAGCCAAAAATCTAACTAAAGCCCTCAACAACAATGCAGAATTTGAAAGCAAATGCAAATTAGTACATCTAACATGGCCTTGTCTTAAAAATATAGGGTTCTTCCAAAAAATGCCCAAGACTTCGAGGGATCCCCAGCAACTGGCATATATTCCATCATATTCCCACATCGACCCTCACCTGCTCGGGAAATACCCTATATATGGCTAGCTGCTAGCTGCTCCGGCCATGATTGATGACTCCAGAGGGTAATCATCATCTTTGGTGCTTCTTTGGTGGTTCTTATCCCATCATTATCCCATTATATCCTCAATGTTTCCAATTTTGCTGGTAAAACACCACCATTTCAAAATCCCATTTCCACGAGAAAAAAAACTGGGTGTTTTCCCTAAAATGGCCATTCGACTTGGGGGCTCTCTTCATCGACCCATGGCCCAATGGCCTGACTCAGCAAATACTGTAGCATCTCCAGCTGCTGTGCTTCAGCTGCGTGGAATAACGCCGTGCTGCCAGAGGCATCCACTTGGTCCACCTCACGGCTGCGAGACTAAAAAACGGGGGAGATGATGGGATCATGATAGAGTTTTACCATGTGTTACCAAGATATGTGTGTCCAACATTCAGGGTGATTTAACATGATTTAAGCGTTTATCATTATACAACCCGCCATTCTATGGCCAGATAATGGGATATAAATGGTCGGTCCACCTGAAGTGGGTGAAAATAGGCTATATACAACTACCATATGACCCTAGTCTATGTATGTAAAATGGCAACGGTAGGGTGTACCCAAGTTTTCACGTACATACATCTCCAATTGTCTGTGCATATGCACTATCAAAAAAAGTTAAAAGCTTTGGACGGTACGTATATATATATACATATATATATATATATTCATGCTTTTATATGCGTGCGCATATATGTAATCAATTGCAATCACAAGCATAGGCATGCTGAAGGTCATGGTTTTTCCCCCTTGAGATCGATCCAATTTGAGCCCCCTGGCCAAGGCTACAAAATTTCAGCCCCTTAAAATAGCGCCCCTGGCAGATCATCCCTGAATCATACCCAAGTAATTTTCTTCCAAGATGTGATTCCAATGCTGCAGCTGTTGGCGCCTGCTAGCACCTAATCAGATTAATCAGCAACTGAAGAGCACGCATGACATGCTAGTGTGAGATGAGCATGTTGCCAAAATGGTATGAAAAAGAGCAGGGCTGCAAGGCAAGAAAATCCGTGAAGGAGGAAGCATGCTCCCAGTGTCAAAGAATTCATCACAGGATCACTCAATTTCATTCTGTGTGTTCTGAGTGCACATGGTCTTTTGACCGGTATCATGCCTAAAAACCTTGAAATTCCAAAGTTGGAAGTGGGTGTCTGCCAAATGACGTCTCTTACCCGGTAAATCTCGCCCTTTACCTGGCAATTACGCCCCTTGAAAAGTTCAGATTTTGCCTAGCATGGAAGCTTGTCATGCAACAGTGTATCACACCAGCAGACTAATTAGATGATCCCTGGCTTTGTGGCCAGGAACTCATCATGCCATAAACAACATGGTTATGCCTCAAAACATTTGATTATATATGCATGTGTATGATTGTGTGTGTGTGTTTGGTAACCTGCCTATGTATATTTATATATATAATTATATATATATATGCATAAAACTATATATATAGTTATATGTATATAGACAAAAGGGAGAAAAACATGCTTATATCCCAATTCTTCTTAATGATCACTCCATCACCTCGAGCCCATCCCAATTTTCCCATCCAACGCTTTGACCCGACCCCTATGACCTGCGCTTTCCGCCGCAGCAACATCTGCAAAATCTCCATCCTGCCGGCTTGCGCTGCCTGGTGCAGTGGCGCCAAGCCGCATGAGGCCACGACTTTTTGCAGGTCTTCTGTGCACAACGGGTGGTCCAACCTTGGGAAAAAAAGGGAAAACAAGGGGAAGGAGAGTTTTTTATTTGTGATGTTTTTTATCTGTATTCTTTATGTTTCAACTGTTTTCAAGGATCTACTAAATAAATTTGGGTTTCTAGGCTTGAAAATCTTGGGTTTCTGTGACTGCCACATCACGGATCATCCACTAGTTTCACCACAAAGCGAATCCTTCACCACCAAGAATTGGATCTATACTGGGCAAGAGTTTGCTGATGGAAGCTTTTGAGTTTTAACCAGCCTCCTACAGTGCAAAAAGATTTGCACCAATAAACAAGTTAAAATCTCATACCAACTCTTTCCACCAACTAAAATTGGATTCACAGCAGCAAACATCTAGTAAAACCCCGAAGAAATCACATGTTTCATCATGTTTTCCAGATGTTTCCGACATTCTTCCACACTTTTTTCCAGATGTTTCCAACATACATATCATATATCATATATCCCACATCTTTCCAGGGATTTTCCGTTGCACGGCGACAAAAAAAAGGGCCCAGCCACAAGCGTTCCACCACCGCCTGGTGTCCTAGCTGGATAGCCAGCAGCAGGGGACTGCGGCCGGCAGAGTCCAGCGTCAGGAGCTCTTTCTTCAGCACCTGAGGTGCCATCGATGGAAACCATGGGGAAATCCATGTAGAAATGGATAGAAAATCAAGGGATTTCTTGGTGCTACTGTACCATATGATAGGAGTATCCCATCAAATTCCCGATTTCTTGGTGCTGATTGGGACATGGAAAATCGGGAAAATAAATGGGATAGAATATTTCTAGAATAGGGCTGCAATGGGATATAATGGGTTATATAATGGGATATTGGTGGTGCTGATTGGGACCCTTAATAGGGAAATAATGGGATCTATATATATAGGGATACACACAGTATTGGGATAATGAACATATGGATTTTTGGAAATTTAACATGATTCAATGGGGATATCAGTGGGATATACAGTGGCATTCCCGGTGGTTCACCATGGGTCACTGAGATTATGCTAGGAATTTTGATAGGGATAAATTGGGATGGAAAAGAATGGAATATAATGGAATATAATGGAATATAATGAAGATAGGGATAATGTTTTGGGACGTTTTGGGATGTTTTGCCGGGATCTCCCTGAAAAACGTGCGAATTTTCAGGTGCAGATCTCCAGGCGACTCTCTCATCTGACTTAAAGATGTAGCTGCAGTAGAAGGGAAGCCCAGAGGCAGCCGCCACTAACATCGAGGGCGGAGTCTTCTTGACGTCCTCAAGGGTGAAAAATGTGTTCCCTTGACTGGGCTCGAGTCTTTTCATATCCGTCCTTATTCTTGGGTTGGGTTGAAGCTTTACTTTCTTTTCAAGACATATTTTCAAGATTTTTCAAGATTCATCCCTCCTGTATATGTATTCACCTCATTAAAGCCACACAAATCATGAAACAAAATGGTGTAGTTAACTAGCTCACTGGACCTAAGCTTGTGGCACAAACGGCATTTTCATCTAACCCCGGACCCCAATTCCTTGACCATCTTGGCCCCTGCCGCCACCAACTGATCTCCAACTTCCGGCTGCTTCTTTCGAACGCAGAGGTCCAGTGGGGAGTAGCCATCGTTATTGGCAAAGTCCAGTGGAACCTTTACCCAGCGCTGGAAGTCCTGGTAGTCCCACTTGGAGGTAATAACCCTAGTTAGAAAGTACCCTAAGTGGGCTTATCCCATAGAGAACTAGGTTAGAAATATGGATATTAAATGATATTCACCAGTTATATATACTTCGTGGGTTGATCGTCCAAGCATAGACAGCAGAGTCCAACACCAAAACTCATACCTCTGTGTCCTGGGATGTCAAGTTTTGATGGTCACAATCACCCCCGGCCTGCTATTCTTCAAGAAAATCAATCAAAAGATTTTTCAGCAAGACGAGAGTTTGGGTATTTCACAGCCAGTCATCCCATTCCACCAACCTGAAGGTTCCACCCCAGCCTTCCGTTTCAATAGCTCCGCCACCAACGGGGCACACCCCGAGGCGCACGCGAAATGCAACGGGGAGTTGCCTTCCCGGTCCGCCTTCTGGGGATCGGCCTTCTTGGTCAACAAATAGCAGGCGACCTGGCCATGTGATCCTCCTTCCACTGATGGAATAACCAGCAATATATATATATATATATAATTATATATTATACATATCATATATTTATAGTATATGTACAGTATATTATAAATAACCAGTTCTTCGTTGGTTGAACCGAACGAAAGGCGATGAAATTCCAACTTCTGCTGGTTCAGATCCCACATTGTGCTAATAAAATGTGATGAGACCCCTGTTGAATTCCCATTTCTTCCGGATGACAACCAAATTCTTCATAATTTTCCCTCTAACATACTTGTCACTTCCAGTGTTTCTCAATTTGTCCCACTCAACTTGGGGAAGAAGAACCCACACTTTATCCCCAACCAATACACAACAACCTCATGATTCACATTTAAAAAAACAATCAAAATCCTTCCAATCTTCCCTAGAAAATCCCTAAAAATTAAGATGTTTCCCATTGAACATCATTCAACTATAGTAACTATAGATACATCCCATTTATAGATCAAACAATCCTCCCCCAGGAGCATCCCTCGAAGAATCGCCGGCACCTCGCTCCTCCCGCGCTCCGCCGCGCGGTGCAACGGGCTGCAGCGCCACAGGTCCACGGCCAGCGCTGTGGGCCACGCGTCGCGGTTCAGGTCAAGGAGCTCTGGGTGCTGAGGCTCTAGTAGAAGCTGTAGGACCTTGGCAGTGGAAGTGACAAGAAATGTGTGGAACACGGTTCTGCTTGTTTTCATGAAAATCGGAAGAAGCAAGAACGAACCGGGGGAGGCATTGAATCATTGGAAGTTTCGATGATTTCAATTATGAATGATCTGATAATATGTTCATCAAGAAAGCTGGCAATCTGAACCAATAAACATAGGAGTCCGCTTGGGTGAAGCTCCAAGAACTGTGCTTGAGTTAGGACTCAGGACCCCCCAAAAAATGCACCCAAAGTATCGTCAAAACTGACTTGTTTGGGGGTCCGAGTTTCAGACAAATGTTGCCCCCTCAATTTGATTGGTTTCCTGTGGGCCCTATGGTGATCGTGGCAGTGGAACCCAAGTTTCAATGGGGAAAAAACAGCTGCACGCAATTAAAGCGGATCAACATGATGAATGTTCCATTGAAACATGCACATGGATGTATGTAAACCTACAATTCGGTGTAATTAATCTAGAAATGGATCAACATCTACGGTGCACATTCATTCAAGAAGTCTACAAATGTAAACATGATAATTATATAATAATGGGTAATATCATCTAAAACATGCTCCACTCTTATAGATTATAGATTATATTATCATACCATAGGTTTTAATAGATTTTATACTGCAGATCTATGGATTCATGGGCCAAATGGGCCACCAATCCCCCAGTTTGAAAAAATTCTCAGATCTGCCTCGAGGTGCCCTTCTTGCGCCGCCAAATGAAGCGCCGTGGCTTTCCTTGCCCGGCTGCTGGTGGTGAAGATGTATGTTGAGATCAAATGTATGACTAAGATTAACTAAGGACATGTAAATCATGTAAATGACTTTTTTTTCATGAACATACTCCCCAGTTGCTGGAATGTCGCTTCAAAAGACTTTGGAATGTTGTTCTTAGAGAGCTGCCGGAACGCTGTTTTAAGAGATTAACTTGCCAGATAATTGTTTCCAAAGGAATATGCGTTACCTTTGTAATATTGTAAAAATATGTAAAAATGATGGCCTTCGGGAGAAAGAATCTATGGCGATTCCCAAAATAAAACGGTATCAATTAATGGCAAAAAATAACAAGAATTCAGGCCTATACCTCAAGAAATCTGGCCCGTTTACGGATTTTAACAAATGTCACCCACCATCATCATCTCCTATGCAGCCACGCATCTTGCGAGTGATCGCCTGGGCTTCCGCCCGAGCCGCCAGCAGCCAGCGACACGCCTCGACGTGGCCCTGCTGCGCTGAGAGATGCAGTGCCGTGCTGCGCTCGTCGCCGCTGGTGGAGTCCAGCAATGACGTTGCGCTGCCGTTGTTGGTGGCCAAAGTCACCTGGAACACCGGGCAAGAAACACTAAGATTCACCAGGTTTCAACATGTTTCACATGGAAAAAATGAAGAGACTCAAGGAATAAACATCTGTTATCGGAATTGGGTTGATTATCCCGAACATCAGAAAATTCTAATGAAACTCGACAATCTGTAGTAAATCTAGAAAGATGAACCTTGAGGCAATTGAAATTGAGATGGATATCATTAGGAAAAAAAAACTCATGGAAATTCACAAATAGTCTAGCCACCTGAATCCAAATTGTTGTGACAATTTAATTTGACCTTAAAATTTGCAAACCCGCTCTACGGATCTCAAGTGACCAAACCTTGCACACAAAAAACGGAAATCTGTGACATCAACATCAAACCCACGAACCAGTGGCATGTAGACTCAAGTTCCTCAGGTCACCCGCTGTCGCAGAATCAAACCAACTGAGCTCCGGTTCTTCGCACTTCACTTCCGTCACCTCTGGTTCTGCCTCGACTTCCTCCAACGGTTCTGGAGCAGTCTGGGCTGTAGGATCCTCCTGATCTTCCTTCGCCACAGTTTCCATGGTGGCAGCTTCAGTTACCTCGTGGTCTCTTGTGGTTTCCGAGGCCCCCTGCTAGAAATGATTTTCATGGGGATACTTTGCGTTTAATTCCCCCAAGAATTATATAGGAATTCCCGAATAGATGGCGCATGCTTCCAGTAAAATAAGATGGCATCCGCCAAATTTTAACCTCATAAGTTGGGGGTTTGTGTGCTAACTGCCGTCTATTGGGGCTGAACATAGACAGCTCAACATCAAGGTTTTAAATGGTTGTGAACTAATTGCAGAAGCCATCTAAGGGCACCGCACAAATATTTACGCATAATTGAATGTATCCGGACCTTTGACCTTCACCTGCGTATACATATACTTAATTTAATGAACAATCACATATACATATGTTTCTCGTTACTCGTGCTGTTCTTTTTCCCTTAAATATGGTAGGCAACTCCAATGCAGGTACTTGGTCGCAAAGTGCATGTTTGGAAACTGTTGATAAGGGGAAAAAAAAGGTACCAGTATGCCTAGCTGCCTAGCTTGGCATACGCATGAGTAAGACGGCATCATCAAAAGCAACAAAAAAAATCTACAAAATCCAGGTGGAAAAAAAACATGGCACCCCAAATCTCTCGTTTCAAGAATTTGTTCGAAGGAAAAATTGCCGGCACCTCCACAATTACTGGTGTACAAACCACAAGTAGTTTACGGATTTCCGCGGGCGTTCCATGATTTTCCCGCAATCCATCCAACCCATGAACATCATCTACTGGGACTGTGCGGAAATTGATCTTGAATTCCATATGACGTGTACGTACACACACATATATCACATCATATCATATCATATCATATCATATCATGTATATATATATATATATATGCGTGTACATATTTAACATTATTTAACATATATATATATATAATATTTATATATCAAATACAAATATCCATCCATAATTCCATGATCCATCATGATCCAAGTTTCCTCCTTGGCTTCGTCATCTTCCTTGGTTTCCTTCACCAATTCGATGATGGGCTCCGCCTCGCCCGGCAAGGCCGGCTCCGCAGGCTCCGCGGACGCCGACGCCGACGCCAAGGGCTTCAAGGGACTCCTCTCCTGGAGTTCCAGGGGGATGATAAATATATGAGGCTCGAGGCACAGACTATGTATATATATATATATAGTTATAAAAACTATATATATATATACTGCTATATTTATATATATATACTGATATTTATGCATTGTGATGTTTTCATGATGTTTCTTACGATGTTTCTTATAAAATGCTTCTCACGATAGTTCTTACAATGCTTCTTCTGATGTCTGATGATGCTTTATGGCATTTTATGGCTAGACTTGGCAAATCTAGCTGCCCTACAGAGGAGTCGATTTTTGGTACCACGGCTCTATGATAATCCTCCGTGTGATGGTTGAAAATCAATTCACTAACCTAGCATTCACCGAGGTCCTTCTATGACATTTCCAGGTGGAACTGATTGATCAAATCTCAAACTTGACGGCCTGCCATGCGAATCCCTGCGACATTCCTCCAGAATCCGTGAAACTTCGCTGCAACTTCCCGGCCATCCGGCCATCCTGCCTCTGTTCGAGCCTCCGAAGCTTCCGTCAGCAAATCCTGCGGCTTCACCAAGTCCGAGCGACTTCCGCTGCAGCCCATGGCGCTGGACCGCGGCGGCGGTGCGAAGGGCTCGGGCCGCGCCGCCATGGGGCGGAGGCTTTTCAGCTGCGGTAGCAGTTTAGCCCCATGAAACAACTCATGACTGACTGGTTGATGGTTGGCTTCAAGGCCCTCACAAACAGCCCTTGACTGTGGTTATGATATGTTATGATCATCATAGTCGTCATCATGATACAGGGTTCAGGCTCAGTTCAAAGCAAATTGCACCACAAAAGCTAATGGCAAGGAACTTTAGACCTCCAAAATCTTACCACATTTTTCTTCCTAAAGGTCAGGCCAGTCCACCTAGGATCTTCCTTGAAGTCAGTATATACTTCAAAAGTGGACCTGCCATCCGTGCAACAGTTATAGAATAGTTCCCTGTTGACCCAATCAGTTATACACATATATTTATAGTAGTATGTTAGAGTGTTGTTTTTGAGGTGATGTTGTGCCCCACTTCCCCCAACCTGTGGCAATCGACCAGCATTGAAGGAAGCCAACTCGGAACTCCAGTTGATGCCGTGCACATAAACACCTCTCGAATGGGGTGGTCCGGATGACACAAAGGAGGAACTCTGAGTGTACCCGGCCTGGTAATGACTAACATAGCTATGGAAAATGGCCATAGAAATAGTGAGTGTTCCCATTAAACATGGTGATTTTCCATAGTTATGTTAGTTTACCAGAGGGTAAACATTTCTGAGACTTCGTCAATTTGGATCATCATCAGTGAAAAAACTACGACACCATCTGCCATGTTTGCACCTGCACAGTGCTGGGCCAAGTAGTAGGCTGTGCCCCCAGCACCGAAGCCAATGTCCAACACAGAGGCACCTGCGGCCAGTGGAAGATGACAGTTCTATCGAATTTTACTATCGAAGAGTTCATCCCTACTAACGATTAAAAAAACCGATTGAAAGTACGGTATTACTAAATGGGTTGTACCGAATATAGTCTCTATATGTGGATGGTGCTTGGTGTTGTTGTTGTCTTTTCTTGTGGCAACCTATCAACAATCGAAAAGTCTGCAAGGTGATCTCTGGGACAACATCGAAACCTCATACTCTGAGTCTGTTGGACTGATTATTAGGTACCCTCTGGCAATTTAACATAGCAATGCAAATCACCCTTTATTTTTAATGAGTATAGATAAATAAATGAATAAACGTATATATATATATATATATATGTGTGTGTGTGTGTCTATAAATGGTACATCGGGAGTACCATAGCTATGTCAGATCTTCCTGGACGTTATTTGACCTTCAAGCCCTAGAGACCGTGGCGAAGTCGGACGTTCGGGGATAAATCAACTGACACGGATCTCCTGCATTTGAACAGAGTGCTGATAAACTCAGTATCAAGGATCTTCTGAATACATTCTACCATATAAAATCATATAAATTATGTGTGTAATCTAGTTTATTCACACATCCTATGTAAATCATGATGAAGCGATATTCTAAATATTTCTAAATATAATACTTAATAACAAACATATAATACAGTATATACCCTAACCTTCAAACCAACATTATTTTAATGTCCGTTCTCGGAACCAACATTATTTAAAATCCATCCCCAGAGCCCGCAGAGAGGTGACGCATTTTCCAAGGGCCATCAATCACAGTGTCATGAGCTACTGTCAGCGCATAGCATTTCTCATCAGCCTTAGAATCCATCATGATCCACCAAAATCAAATAAAGTTCACTGCATGAATACAGAAACCCAGTTGATGTAAAAATTCTGCATGGCTAATATGACTATCAAGCGCGCCTAGTGTTTCTTTCCAAAAATCATCCAAGCAACGAGTTGACTTTGTATTTCATGGAGAGGAGCCTGCCAGAATAGGCATTGTCCCACTGGCGTTATCGTAAATCACCAATGTGAGAGTTTTGACAAACAACCATGTCCACCAAATAAAAAATGCAAGGGATGCAGAAGCTACTCATGTCGGTATGGCCTTAGTCGCTGGGTTCGCACCAGCCACACTGCACGTTTACGCGGATGTGAAAATTTTGACGCTCCTTAGTTGTGTATCATATGTTGTATCCAGCCTTAGACATGGATAACAAAACTACTAGTACTAGACGCGCAGCCACAATTCCAAGACATAACAACTTAAAAAGAAACATAATATCAGTCATGTCCTAGAATCCTTTGGCCCAACGCATAGCATCTTCGTCAGTATAGCAATGTGTGAAACGCGGATTGCGTCCTTGCATGAATCTGATTCACAAAGTGGCAGGTCAATTCAAACAAAATGTTTTTTAGACGCTGACGTCCCAAGAAAAGACCCTCAGTGCTACTTAGCCACTTGTTGCCCGTATCTCTCTGCAAACGTGTATCAGAGCCTAAGCTGCATAGATGCAGTGACCCAAATTGGTGCAGCACTGCACTGTACTTTTTTTTTACAAATCTATTTTATTCTATTTTTGCAGTGGTAGGTGACTGCGCGGCCTCGGCCTGCTTTTGAATCGACAGCATCATATGACATGGAAAACACTGCAGTCAAGATGCATGTATTTTCGGAACAAGAGAGAACTCCTGTCGTTGTTGTCGAATGGAGATTACACATATCGACTTGTAGGTGCGCAAGAACAAAAATCCTTCGGCACACATCTTGTTTGCGACAGCTTGTGTCCTGAGTTTAGGCTAGCACGGGCACATAAGGTATCCGCAGGTATTAGCAATTATCCGTTCAACTAATATTAGCCTAGATTCAAGTTCCTGGGGTTCGACTCCATCATGTGGAAGAATTTGGCCATGGATGTCCTTGGTCGACAGCATCAAATCAGGCAGTGGAACTGCAGTCCAAGGGAAGGGTGCTCATTGCGAATGGGGCCTTAAATGCTGGTGATATTTATCATCAACACAAATCAAAGTTGGTCTCAAAAATAAACTCCGTCCAGTATTGCAACTTGATGACTGGTTACCTTTTTTTCCCTTTTTGAAAGAACAGTTGCATTTGAACAAATCTGGGAAAAAAAACAGATCCCTGGTAATGCCGGAAAGCATCATCAAAACTTTCGCCAAGACAAAGCGACCAGAGTCATAATTTGGATCCACACCAGCAGATGCTACCGTGAGGGTGTCTGCAAGCCACGCGCAGATCAATCTGCCATTCCAGGCCTTCGCAGTGAGCAAGATGTCTCCAGATTTTTTGTGAACCTGGGCCGGGTCAGCCCAGAAACTCTTCCATACAACTCGTAGGAAGTTTCGACAGTGAACAAAACTCACATGCACTTGGTTGCGGAAAAATAATCGCATCACCTTTGTTGTTTATATGTTGATCCTTTTGCCAAAGAGCCATTTTGACAGTGAAGGGAGCCTGTGAGTGGCTTATTTTGTTTGCTCGGCACCAACCCACGAATCCTTGATAAGCTCGATCCAGTTTCTGTTGTAAAGTTCCTGCTCCCCAGTAGAGCAGCTGCTCCGCCAGCATGTTCCTCAGGACCATGTTGGACTCTCATAGTTATCAGCTACCCGACAGGGGTGTTATATTATATTGTTAGGGTTATCAAAATTGAAAGCTCATAGGATTAGCATTATCATCGGCCCCCCAAATGTTCCCAAACACTACCTGAACATTTTTTCTTATTCTTTAAAGTTGTTGTGTTGATCATGTTACATGCAAGCATGAATACATTTTTGGTACATGCATTGTGTGGATCATGTTGTTTTAGGATAATAATGGATGATAACAAGATTACGTGTGAGCATGTCAAATCCCACTTCACTGGGCTTCAAGGCGCTGAAGTTGTGAGTGCCTACATGGAAACAGTATCTTGGTTCAACATGTTCCTGGCGTCAGGTGCCCACCAAGCATCAAACATCCACCGTTGATTCGAAATAAGATTCCAAGGTTGATCACATGCATTGTGCACCACTTCAATAGGGAAATTGAGAATCCTCGAAGGTTGATCAATGGACCTGGGTCAATTCAATGAAGGCTTCAAGACCACTCAAATTCCATCAGCACATGAACTACAAAATTCAAATCAGTTGGGGCAAACAAAAGAAAATGCAACCATTATGCGATTGAGTTGCACACGTTGGTGCTGGGAAGCCTTTTGTTGATAAAGTCCGCTCTTGTGAAATGGGTTTGATTCCATGAGTTGTCTTCATCCAAGTTCCAGTATAACATACCAGGGTCGCCAAGGTCTTTTGAGACAGCGTCGCACAGAAAGCATACTTGTGTAGAATTCCAAGAGCACTTGAATTTCCAAAGGAGCTTGTGGAATTCCCAGTCCCCTCGAATTTCACCCACCTGAAATGTGTACTGCATTGTGGTGATTGACATGCCAGCACGCCGTTTTTCAGCCTGAGACAACTCTCGCCCTCCTGGGCGCCTGTCTGGATTGATCCCTGTATGCAAACAATTCAGGGACCATACTACCCACCTTAACACTTGGTTGACTGTCTTATTCTCAAGTAAAACCAGGCCGTCACATGACCAAATCAAGAACCGGGAATACCTGACGCTCTTCGGTCGGAAGACCGGTATGTTCAACCAAAGGCAGAACACCTTCTCTGTTTTGATTTTGGTAACAAGCTGTGCTCCGTCACCGTATAGTCCTAACGGAACCTTTTGCCGAGCAGGGGATCCAGGACCCCAATAGGCTTCGAGAATGTCAGGTTCGAAACGAAGTCCAACATGGTCTATGAGATACCAGATAATGCGATGGGGAAACAGAATGGGTTGTTCCTGTAGGCAGTAGCCGTTCGGGTTCTTCTCATCCGCCACCGGAACCCAGATTTTTTCAATCTCCTAAGCTTCATTGTCAGAAGATACATTGATCAGAAAATTCTGAAGTTGTTTTATGGCGTTTGATTTTCCAACTCAATGTGAAGCCAAACCATGATCTACATATACTGTTATAAAAATCTTATCAACCAAGTTGGACAACCAGCCCAAGCCCAGGTATTGTTCCTACATCATATTCATCGAGTTCAAACTTGGTTCGTCTCTCCAGGCCAAGCAGCGACAGGGACAGATGTGAAGCCAAAAAAATCACGAGCATCATTGTGACCACTTTTGGTTCCTAGCTTGACGCTGTCGCTGTGCACAGCAAGGACACCACTCTCCTGGCAAACACCATAAAATTGGGTTGGACTTGCATGGGTATGCGCTGTCAAAGAGTGAATCTCTGAATGTTTTTGTATGGTAACTATGAATCTTTGATATCAAGAATCATAATTTAGTGTTTTTAATTTGCCAGTTACCAAGTTACCACTGGTCCTGTATGATATCAGAATGCAGGGAATGGCATGTCAAGGATCCAAACTAAGTTAAGTGAGGGCCACTGCACCACAACAGAGGCTCCTTCACATGCGCTCGAATTCTCTTCATTGCCCGGTGGACAGAGCTGATCTCAGCTGCGAGTGGGCACTGGGAAGTGGGTGATGTTGACATCACATTACTTTGAGAACCTGATGAATCCCAACTTTTGGCAAGCTAGTAAACATTCGATTTGAAAATGGTGAACCCAACATATATGATTGATCGAAATATGAATAAATCTTAATTATAGCTCGATACCAGTTTGTGCCATAATTGTCCCTCCTGTGCTTCGTTAGAGGCAATGGTAAGGAATCAGTATCTAATTCTCATCCCAAGTTTTGGAATTAGAATCGACTGTATCGTCATTTCAAAGAAGTGTTCCCGTAGGCTAGATGGACAGAACCCTGAACTGTGTTTGTACAAGGGATGTAGCCGAGACTCTCCCATGCTGACATCTTCAACTGCTTGTTGAACCACATCATTGTTCTTCTCGTCCCGGTAATCAGAACCTGCGTTGGAAACATCCCCACAACATCATGTTGAACTTGAACAGATACGGTTTACTAAGATATCTGGGCTAGGCCGACTGTATATAATATATACACTTTTCTCCTTGTTTCTTTGAAAAACAAACAGCTAACTATACTATACTATAGTCTCACTTGATGCTCAGCTCAGACAGAATATGTTTCGATGCATCTCCCATTGCACAAACCCTGAAGCCCTTTCTCCCAAGCGTTCACGTCCATCACGCAGCACACTGCCACAAGGCGTGTGTACTGGCTGAATCAAAACTCAGATCCCGCCCAGGGCTCAGCTCAGGATGCACGACACTCATGTCTTACATACATGCAGTTTTAGAAGTAGGACGACCATCCAAGAATCCAGATTTTTTCTCATTTGTAGCGCCTCACAAAAATCGGTTTTGTGATGTTTTGTGTGCTTCGAGCTGGTAATTCCAAAAAACCTGAACAAGACATGCATGTGGTCACTACCACCCTGCTAAAGCCGACTTCCATAGGCGATGCTCATGTCACACAACAGGCCATGGGTCTTCTTCAAATATTGGTGAACGTTATTAGAAATTCTATAAATTATAAATAAGTCTGTTGATTGATATGTGGAATAGAACCTTCAACATTTTGAGAAATGGAAAACCCCTTGGGCCTTTGGCCATATCCCAGGTAGGCACTCCATCCCACTGAACCGAATGCATTTCAGCATTCGCAGATATGCCTACGTACGTAGGGTCAGACCAGGCATCATTTGATATTGTGGTTAGCTGCGAACTCCAAAAACAATTTGACATCCTGCTCAGCAGATTCAGCGGCTGCTTCCATTTCGTCGATCATAGTATCGGTCGCTTTACCACCCTGAACGAAGACTGGGTATTGATTCGATGCCAGGTTATTATTTTGGTTAAGAAGTCAATGGAATCGCTGATGAATGGTGATTCTGGTTGTATACAAATTGGATGGTTCAAAGAAAATAATTAATGGCAGTAGAAAAATGAATTTGAATTGGGACAAACTTTAATTCACTCCCCGTGGACCTCAAATGGTAGTGGATGATCAGTAAATGGACCCAATGGCCGACAAGATGATACCCCAGGTTTTGACCAATCGCCACAATATATCTACGTGCATGACAGCCGTTACCATTACCCAAGAAACATGTGCAATGTGATCGAATTTGTTGTTTGATTCACGTTCTCCATAGGATCCAGAGTGCCCAAATTTACTTGTTGGGTAATAATGTTGGGTTATAAATTATAATATTAATATGTTGTTTGGCGTGGATGTGTCAAATCATGCCCTCGCCTTGCAAGAGTCGATTTTCATCGACAAGCCTTCTCGGTCCTTCTGCAACTTTTTCGTGTGAGGCTTGATCTCAGCGATCAACATGTCCTTCATGTTCGTCGACCTCGATAGCCAGCTCCAAGGAGAACATGTTGGGGAACCCTGCCAGGGCTGCTAGGTATATAGTAATGAGGGGTCTTGGTGAGTGGCTGATCGAACATAATAATATAATATTATTATAATCGAACCAAAAAAACAATCGAACAATCACTGGGGTTTACTTAAAATATATTTGAATATAATAGCGGATTAATCCATTGATGTGTTGGTGCATGTATGTGCATGTGAATATCTGATATGATATCTTAGGTATCTTGTTTATTATGTCTTTGACTTTGATCGACAGTATTCCAGTCAGTGGCCACCACAGCTAGAACCTTTGAGGCAGTTACATGCTTTGAGCTTTCACTTCCGCAAGGGATGCTTTGGCAAGGCAGTTTGCCAGTTTCGTCACCACCTGATTGGATGTGAGTGCCCGTAATATTCCTGCAAATGAAAATTAACCCTGAATTACCAGGCTACAAGTTTCAATTTGAAATCCCTCTTACATATCGTATATCTATACTCAGTATTGGGTGTCCATGCCAAAAAAAAACTCAAAGTTTAGCTAGCCACTTTCTGAGTAAGTCTCTTGATTGAAGTTAGACAAGACAATCACGAGATGTGAATTGAATCGTTTGACAACACATTAATGTTTGGCCAAATGAAAGAGGATCGGTGAACATAGCCAACTCAGGACCAGCCTTGTTAGCAGCAGCGCATTTCTTGCGAATGATCTCCTTGGATTTCTTTTCAATCTCCTTATTTTCACGCTTGTGTTTCTCCTCCTCGGTTTCCTCCTTGTGTCCCTTTCTTTTGCCATTGTCTTCTGTCTTTGGCTTGCCATCTTTTCCTTTTGACTTCTTGTCCTGCTTTCCATCCCCTGATTTCCTCTTACGCTTCTTGTCCTGGCACATGCACAGCCAGCATTTAGCGAGACGTAGTCTGCAAATTGCAAGTGAGCGACAAAGACAAGAAACCCAACAAATCTCCATCGATCCCAAAGATCGCCAAATTAGCTAACTTGTTCAACCCTCAAACGCACACAAGCAGCAAACATGTATTTGTTTGCCTTGCGACTCGGCGACGAAGAAGACTGGGAACTTGACTTTGCCGCAGACGACTCAGATGAGCTACTGCTGCTGGACTGGGAGCTCTCCGAAGATGTGGATCTTTTCTTTGTCTTCTTTCCCTTCTTGGGTGCTTTGGAATCTTTCTTTGACTTCGTTTTCTTCTTCTTACCTTTGTCCTTTCTACGGTTGCTCCTCGTCCTGCTTCGCCCACGACGAGTGTCCTCCTGGTCATCATCCATGGCACTAAAGAGGCTTGTGGTCACGGCATCTTCCAAATCCTCTTCGCTGTCGTTAGTCCAAACCAGGAACTGTTTCATATCCTGAGATGATGTCAGCTATGGATCTTTCATGGTAGCAGAAAAACATGAGACATCACGTGTGACTTTTGAATGGTTTGATACATAATGTTTGAGTTGGGATATTAATATTTTATCCCATTGAAACTATGTCAACACGTGTGGAAGCGGTAGAGCCAGCAGTGCCAGCATTGTTTTAGTATCCCCAGGATTTTTTAGTCATTGTAAATTGAAATTAAGCTGGTGCATGTGGGGGCTAAATATCAGCTTGGGGTCAGCCCCGTGTGGGCAATCCGGATGGGGACGCACATGGCTTTGCATGTCTGGATCGTCCAGTTTGGCCTGCACGATCTTTCTGGCCATGTCTGTACTTCCGTAGCGCATGGCAAGTTCTGATTCCGTGAGCCACTTCCGGGCCCCCCTCTTCCGAAATCGCTTCTCAGTCTTCAGTTGCAGGAACAGGCTTGACTGTCGCCAGTGCCCCTCGCACGTCAACCACTGATCAAATAGGATCGCAATCTTATCTGAACCTGGGAAAGAGGCAGGTCAGGTATCGTCTAGACAACCAGGGCTCATTGTTCCCAGATACGTGTTACTCAAGATGTAGCAATATCAGCACAGGATTCGATGGTTTTGTGTTCTTTCGTATCACCCAGTACCCTGGTCACTCATAGAAGATAATCTCTGGAAAAGATGATGAAGTGATGGACATTGGATTGAGTAGAACTTTCCTTTTACGTAAGCCCGGTGTTGGTCCAAGTTTAGATTTTAAGCATGGTTGTCACAAATTAAATGACACAAAATAAACCAAACAAAGTAGTTTAAATGTTTGTAACTAAGAAGCAGCGATGCGCCGCCTTAGCGGCTTTCTGGATCTCTGGTGGGCACGTCTTGCCTTGGCAAGAGACTTGCATCCATGCGTAATTACCCCCCACGGGATAGAGAACATGCATGCATGCTTATAACAAAATAAAACATATCATTGGACACATTGTGGTTGGAAATCATTTTGAAACTCACATCACTGAGCCACCATGGTTTTGGAGCCAATGAGATCCCAATAAGATTTTGTGAACCCGTGAATGTGTTTAAGGAAAACAACAACAGTTATTATATATCATATTGTTATGCTATCATGTTATCAACTAACAGTGGAGACTGAAAACTGAAATGACATGGCATTGAATGATCGATAATAAAGCCATGGTACTTCTGGTAGATCGAAAGAACCGCATATAGCGAGCATGGGCCCTCTTCTTGGCTGCAACCTGCTCTGCAGTCGGTACATTAGGGTCCGGATCCCCACCACCCCCATTCTCCTCAGAGTCTGACTCAGAGGACTGGTATGCAAGCTGCTGGGCCTCGACAAATGTCGGAGCTCGATTGAGGCTCTGCTGCACGGCACTGGCAGTGGTTGGATCTGGGGTGGTTACTTCGATCTTGGGCGAGGTTGCCCTGGTCGGCTTAGGAAGTGCCTTTGCATCCGGTGTTCTGGTAGCATTCTTTTGTTTCTTTTCTTGGCCTGCATCTTGAGGAGGCTTTGGCTTGGCCTTGGAAGCCGTGGCTTGTTTCTTCTTGGCTGGGTTGGTCTCCTCCTCACCTTCATAGTGTAAGGTTGGCTGTGACTCAAGGATACGCTTGGATTTGATATCTCTATGGAGTCCTGGCTGAGCAGAAGTAGTGACTGCTTTGGCATTTCCCCCTCCAGTACCTTCAGTTGGCCCATCAGTGCCTGGAATTGTAGCAGCACTGGCACCTGAGCCACATGTGGGTATGGATCAATACCTATTAATACCATTTTTAGTGGGATGAACATCCATTTACCAGCTATTTTGATGTTCACCAGGGGTACAAGGTTTTGACCCACTGCCATGTGTGAACCATGATATATTATATTGCTTACTTAATTTATTTTCCTGATCAAGGTGGAAAAAATGCACGGGTTGGTAAGTCAGGGGAAGTTCATGGAACTTCAATCCAATTATGGTTGTTCAGTTGTAGTGCTCATTGACCACACTCAGAAATGTCAAATTGGTGATGTGAAAATCGCAAGTTTGGATCTATCCCCATGCCTGTGATTCATCCCAAAGTCTCCCAGCCCAGCATGTGGTTTCAATTCACCCATGAACCCCGTGCCAGGCCTCGCTCCACTTTGGCCACCTTGGCCTCCTGAACTTCCTTTTCAAGGCTTTTGGTGGCCGTTGGGTCCGACCTGCCGCAGGACATGCCACAGATCAAGAAAATAATATTCACAATTATTCACCATCTGGTAATCAAACATGGCAATGGAAAAATTGAATTTTTAATAGGAAAATCACCTATAAATGGTCCATATGTCATTGCCATGTTTGATCACCGGATGGTATATCGATCAGTAGCCCATCAATAGTCCAGCCAATTCAGGAGCCGATAATCCATGAAAAAATCATCGACACCTAGCATATATGTGGAATTGACTATGCATGGTTCATCACACATCATCACACGTGTTGATTGTTCTCCCGATCCCCAAACCTGGTAATAGAACTTGAGCATGTTGAATTATGATATGAACTTTGTCTTTGAGCCTGGATTGCTCTTTTGCTTTGGCCAACTTCTTCTCAGCCTTTGACATGTTCGTGTGTTCTTTTTCAGCAGCTTCATCCTTATCCATTGCCTCATCAACCCTTACCCCTGCGTCATCCTCAGCAACGGATGCAGCCAATTTGGCTGCCCTTTCCAGGGCTTGTTGCACCTTCTCAGACACCGGCATGATATCACCAATCAGGATCCCAACAACCGAAATGGCTATGATAAGATCCAATGTTGTATGCACACCGAAGAAAATTGTCGCTCAGAGAAATCAAGGTTACAGGATGGCATATTTTCCCAAACTGGCATTTTTGTCGGTTACGTTTTTTTTGAAAAAAAACATTGTTTTTGGGGAAATGGTCGTTCACGTTTAGAAATGGTCGTTCACGTTTAGAAATGGCCGTTCACGCACCATTCACGCTCATTCACGCTTCATTCACGCTATGTAATTTTCCTGATTTGCTGGGAATCTATGCCACCCCATAGCCCTTCGTGAGTGCTACTGGCAGGCATTCAGCTGTACACGCTCGGGCACTGGCAGGAGTCTCAGTTATTTTCCACGGCTCAGCTAGGTGGCACAGCTGTCATTGGGTGCAACGACTAGCTAATTAACATGATACTGAATTTGTGGCATCTTACAATGCTACTCTCATAATTCAGGTTCCCCCAACAGCAAAAATAGGATTTGCATTTGAATTAGGGACCCAATATATGCATGGTGTATCGCTACCATTGACCAGCGGGAACCAGAGTCTCTAATCAAGACCCCCTTCAAACTTGGGGTGGAAGAAGCCTTTTTTGGTTTCCTCCTTCAAGAATGCCTTGACATCGTCAAGCGCCGCATGCCTCCATCCATATGGAGCCTGGATATGCCGGATTCAATGCACGCAACACATATGCATATCCATGCATGGATTGTAACCAGCCACCCTTTGGCCAATGGTAGTGCATATTAATAAGTGACCACTGAAAACATGCTCTGGCAAAATATTTCCGGCTAGGTTTATGTTTTCAAGACAGGGTTTTGTCGCTTTATAGAATTTACTAATTCAGATTACATCTTCTGTTGGTCCCCTCTAATTTATGTTCTACATTGATGGGGCACCGAACAAACCATGAAGACAATTTCATGATTGTGGATGGAATGTTGGAAATCCATAAATGTGAAATGGTCAGAAATCGGTTGCCATTTGCAATTCCAGCCCACAACCCCAGCCTTCAGCACTGTGTTTGGCTGAGGCTTTGGTGCTTTGTCTCCATACATGGCCATTTTGAGGACCTGATCCCCAGAGTTTTTCACCTGGGCCAGTCAGCGGGGGTTTGATTGATTGAAATCCAGAATTTGGAGGGAGAAATGGTTGGTGAAAACACTTTTCCCTTACTCAAAGTGTTCGGGAAAGTCAACATTGTACTATTATTGTGGTATATATCATACAGCAGCACTAAATTCGAAGATGGTTATTTGATGCCTACTTCAAAAATCAAGTTGGTACCAAAGCTTAGGCTTAATTTGTCATGGTTCTTCAATCAAATCCAGTTACACTGAATGACTTACCAGCCAACAAATCAACGGCTCACAATCCTAGGCTCCTGCATGCCAGCGCACCCCCCACAACAAGTTACGGAATGTTGATTCATGGCTTCTGTAGTATCACCCATTATCTTGTACTTGTAGGACAATCGAATTATTGATGTGGTTCCCACTGATATCTTGTAAATCGGAATTGGTATCATGGTATGTCATTAAGATTCGATTCCCTGAATGTCCCTGGGACCAGCACATATTTCTTGTGGTAGGATGCCACAGCCTTTCCATAGCGCAGTGGGTACACGGCTGAAGCACGTAGACCTTTTGCCCCTGACCTCAATGGCAATTCATTGGCCAGTAATGTGCATTTTATGCCATCATCACCCAACATAGTTGTTGAACAAGAGGTTTAAAAAGTTCAATGATCAAGTCAACAGTCGCTGTCGATACATGCATGATGAAAATGTCTTCAAGAATTGAAAACACATCTGAGTAGAACACACAACGGTCTTGCCGGTCGTTTTTGATACCGTTTTTTTCACCAGAGGCTTTGTGGTCGTCTTTGCTCGTGCGGCCACCTTTGCCCTCAAGGCCTTCGACGTCCTTCGGTACAACTTTTCCAAGTAAGGACTTAGCAGCCAGTGTGGGTGTCTGGGTCGGTTGTGGTCCACTTTGCATGTTAGAGGTGACATCCAATGAGGTGTGTCTCAGATTTCAATTTATATTCAGAGTGGGTGTTCGCAAATCTTCTTAAACTTTAAGACCCCTCAGAGACATTTTTTCGGGCACCCCGTTTTGAAACACTGGTACCAGTGGTAGTAAAATGAACTTGCTTTTTAGCTGTAACATGCTTTTGCAAAAGTATCCTTAATTATAAATTTATTTCATTCTGATAAAACCTGGGTCAGCATTGTTTAGCATCCTTGGCCCCCCGACGCAACTCCGAACAACTGTGTTGGCTTGAGAGATGTGTGGCCGTACGAAGCCATGTTACTCAGTGAGACGGCCAAGGTGTCGAAGGAAACATTTTGGGTTGTCAAAAACATATCCCATAGGATCCATGTATGGTATATATGCTAACATTGGGGGATATATATATATTATATTAATGGTAAATGTTACCATATAATATAGCATACATGGATCCTATGGGTATGTAAGCATCCATTGTTCAAAGGAATAGATGATACTGTCACTCCACAATCCAAGGCTGGCACAAACTGGTGAATTTCCAGTCAATGAACATGTTACAAACCTTCTTGAGCCACTTCATATAGGGGAAGGACTCCATGACGCTGGATCGTGGCTGCTCGATTAGGAAAAAACATCCACGGCAAAGTGCCAGACACAGCAATAGAACCAGACGAGTTGTGATCCTTAGTTCGGTGGATAAAGCATGATAAAGCTAAATTATAAATATCGAAGAGTTATAAGAATAAGTAGTCAGGGTAGTACGCCAAATCGCAACAGAAATTGAAGTGTTGCTATGATGGTTCACCTGCAAGATTCCGGTTTGCTTGCCGAACATACAACCTCAAAGTTGCAGCACCAAAGGGATTATACCTGGTCCTACGTGAAGTAGCAGAATTCAACCACACGAAGCTCCCACATGGTGGGCCGCAGTGAGCCACCGCGCCAGGCTTGAGCTTCAGTATCAAATGCACTGCCGTCAGCCATCCACACCTCAGCCAGAGGACATGTGAGGGTTGGGACTTAAGGTACAGGGTATTTTGATAGGTCACCATGTGAAACAAGAGATCAAAGAGACCAAAGAAAGTGTATCAATTTTAGTGAAACACATTTTAAAATGATCCTAACACTTGTACAAGCCATTCCCTGGGTTGCCAGACACCGAGAGTATGTCATTCCTGTCACCACCACGTTCTTTGTCGTACTGACGCCTGAATCATCACATTTGACAGCTGTCGTTGACTTCGAATCTTCACATCTATCAATTGATTGATGATTCCAAGGTGTTTCCTGGGCAATCCTGACTAAGTTAGTTGATGTTAGTTGTCAGTACCTGAGACCCCAACGCACGAAGGTTCTCTCCAACTGGGCAAGGTCACAATGAGGAATATTTGGTACGTAATATATTGCAACATGTGAAGAGTACAACTTATGTTCAGGTTGGGGTCCCAACGAAATCCCTTTGTCACACTCGCCATTCCACTGAAGAGATCGACGCAGTCCAAGTCCTGAGACGGAGTGAACTTTTTTAAATTTTTCAACACAGATCAGCCATTCAACTTCAAATTGATCATACTATGATTGCATATATATGATATTTGACTTCAACATATTTCAACTATCCAGTCAAAGGTAGTATGGTCGCTGTTTTCCATAATGAAACTGGGTGCCCCACTTGCTTTGTCGCTTCAAGGGTTGTGGCATGCTCGATGACATAGTCGACCGAATGTAACCTCAAATCGATACCATGGGGGTGGACAAGGCACATTTAAGAGGCAGCCCCCTTCTAAATATGTTCAGCACTGAACATCTTGATGATTATGATGATGTTACTGTAGCGGCATTCAGCCAAAGTACAGCACCAATGGCAGACCCAAGTAGATCAGCATGGACGCAGCACGCTGTGACAAGAGCAAAGGGGAGTGGACATCAGCACAGCGACGGGGCATTATCACTAAGCTCTGGTCTGAGGATGATTGTCTCCCTTGATTGTCAATGGCTGTGGCTAATGACCACAAGTTGCAAGATGAAATGATCCTTGAATGACACATACAACAATCCAAGTAAGTACCATCACATGAGAGTGCAACAGACTAGTTGTTTTGTTTCTCTTTCGAAGGAATGATTAGAATCTTAGGAGACCACATAAACAACACCTGTGTGATTGGCTGGACATATTGTAAATGCATATATCATTGGTTCAGCTGGGACAAACAAACACCATCAACACTTGCGCACTGAATAGTCGTTGATCTGTTTTCCCTTCTTGACGCCCAATCACAGATCTCTGATTCCTGCTCTAGCCATAATGTGAAATCCACACATGGGGGCAAGAAATATTGATAAATCATCAATGATGAAAACTTGCCAATGCAGCTTCTCACTAGTGGATGGTTGACAGATTGCTATGTTGGAATATGATACTTCGGTGGTATGAGCCTCACATGCTTTTCGGAGAAGCCGCAGTCTCAGCCACCCAAACGGTCAGGACTCTGGCACTGCTTCCCATCCAGCCAAGAGCTGAGCACAGGACCACCTCGGGAAACCAATTAATGGGGAATTCAAATCATTGAATAATCTAACAATCAAAGTTTGGAAAAGGGAAACTTGCAAAACTTAGCTCTCTACGCCTGGCGGATCCCCTCATACTTACGCCATCCAACGGATACTCCATCCTGAGAGTTTGCCTGCAGCGTGATGATGTAATGGTTGGACCAACTGGTGAAACAGTGAAACCTTTAACTAGGTCATGCTGTAAGTAGGCTTCGATTGTGATTCTAGAGGTATGTTTTGATATTTAAACAGCCTTTGATCAACCATAAATTGAGGATATATTATATGATCATAAATGATAGCTATTCATGCTCTTCAGGTATTTAAAAAAAAATCCCCAAACTGACTAAGCAGCGGTTTCTGGCCTTGAACCTCAGCTGGAGGTAGGCGTTCACCTTTTCCACTCGGGGGATGTCTTTGGGGACCGGGTAGACATAGAAGCTCCGGTAGGCCAGCCTATCCCAGCTAGGTCCAATCGAATTTGACGAAACCATCAATCAAGTTAGCACCATCCAAGTTTAAGAATTTGAATGAACAAAGTAGGCCCCTGACACTGGGGAAATGGCCGACAGCTCTGCACCATCTTTCGCCGGGTTGGGCAAGTTGTCTGGTGCGTAAAGGGTGTACGACCTGGACAAAAGGTTGAAAACAGCGATGGCGATATCGATATAATTAGCTGGGGCACATATTATGTAATATTATATATTAATTATATATCATCCTCTTGAAGCGCACTATTATTATAGAGAATTATATGTATGCATATGCAAAATTCCCAGTGGCACTGAAAATGATCAGCTGAGGGCGGGGCTTCTGACCCTCCGGAAAATCAGGGAAACTCGAAGCATTAGGCAGTGACTTCAGAAAGTCCATGAGCTCCCGTCTGGCCACATCCTGGGAGAACAATGATCGATCAACTAGCTATAAGACTTGATTGAATGCCCATAAAAGAGAATCATCATGGGAGTGTGTGTAAATAACTATAGTGGTTGAGACGAGCTTCAGCGGTTTCTGCTCTTTTTTTCGCCCTCCTAACCTTCAAAGGAGTCTTCTCAGGTTTGCTTTCCTCGCTCGGTTGACTTTCCTTTGCTTTGCTCAAACCATGCTTTTTTTCTGTATCCGCCCCCCCTTCAACTCCATCCTCCGCTTCCTTGAACTCTCGGTCCAGGTTTCTGACTGCTGGGTCTGTTTTTGCCTTCTTTTTTTTGGGGGGGTTTTGTTCTTGCTTCTCAGTCTCATCCTTCATCGCCATCTTTTGCAGATGCTTGCCTACTTCCTGCTCTGCTTTGTCCCGCTGACGGTTCTCACGGGTCTTTTTCACAAATGGGCTGTCAGCGAGCTTCCTGCTATCCTTCTTGGGCTTGCCTGCCGGTTTTTCAACCTTGCTGGACTTGCTTGTTGGTTTGCCTTGCTGCTTTTCAGGTGTTCCTTTGCTACTCATGACCTCTACCTCCTCACTCTCCTCGTTCGATGTCGCTAGATCAAGATTGATTGCAGGGCTTCGTTTCTCTTTCTGTTGTCCTTCCTTCGAATCATCATTCGGTTCATCCTTTCCAGAATGTTCCTTGTTCTTTCCGTCTTTGGATCTCTTTTTGTGGGCCTTGTCTTCCTTTGCATGTTCATCGCAATTTTCTTGATCACGTTTCTTTTTCTTGGTTGGTTTCTCTTCTGGCTCTTCGTTTTCATCATCCTCATTCGCTTTGTGTTCATCTCCTGTGCCCCTCCTCCCTCCTCTGCCCCTGCCCTTGCCCCTAGCCCGACCTCGACCTCGGCCTCGCCGAGGTTTGTCAGAAGCATCTGAGGCTTCCTCAGCTTCTCTGAGGAATTTATCGGGATCCTCTGCCTCCTGTTCTTCTTCTCGGACTGCCTTTCTCATCTTTTTCTGTGCCTACCACATGAGGACATTTTTTCATACTTATAGTCCATGATATATACCTATAGCAGTACATTACATGCATGGGCGTTAATCATTAATCATTAATCACTAATGCGTTGCATGCATGCCCCTGGACACCTGCCCGATATCGATCATGTCATTGTCTTTTGCAAGTCCACTTGAAATTCTCTCCACTGAAGCCACGGCATGTAGATCATGTTCCGGCTCCTTCCTCAAAGGCTCCGTGTCCTGACACAAATTGCAAACCCACACACACACACACACACAGAAATACACACACACACACACTTGCTTTGGTTGATAAATTAATCCCATCATTTCATGTCCACTCAAAAAAGAGTTGTTCAGAATTGTCTATTTGTCATCTCAACCAATCATTCCTAGAATGCTTGGGATTTTTTAAGTGCTATAATTAGCGAAGTGGAAAAAAGATTGCTACTACCATGTGATCCATATGTGTCACATCCCCCCACCCCTCGCCTTGAACGCCTGCTTGTCGGCATCGTCATCATCACTGGCCAAAACGCTGTACGTATCATTTTTTTGCTCTTCACCCATATGACTTGACCCCGGTTCTACCTTTTCATGGGTATTTTCTGCATTCTCGGGACCTTTCCCTGTATCCTGTCTCAATCGCTTGCCTGGCTTGACATGCGATGGCATGCCATCTGGGCTCAAGTTGAAAGCAGCCAGCTCTTTGGGAGTGAATTTGTACCCTTCCTCTTTCCAAGCCACCATATCTTCTTTTGTTGGCTGGGAGCCAGCTTCAAACCAGTAGTCATCCCATGACCATGAGAGGGTGTCAACAGCATCGGGATTCACCGGACCAGTAGCTGAACTAGTGCAACCCTTCCCAACAACTTCAACAGTGGGTTCCCGACCTTTTACATCATCATCATCATCCAAGGGCTCATCAACCACCTTCACCTCTTCCTCCGGTTCCTCTGCGGGGGCATCTTCCAAAAGACCCAGTTCTTCGCTGTTGGCTTCCTCCGTTTCATATGTTTCTTTCTTCTCCTTTGCCTCATGGTTTTCATCCTGGTGGTCCTCCTCCTCCTCCTCCGATTCTTCAGGTTCTGTGGGTGTTATCTCTTCGTCATTGTCATCATTGTTTTCATTGTCTACCCCTGCATCAGCTGTGTTTGCCCCCAATTGATGGGATGACGCGCTCCTCCCTCTGGTAGCTACTTTCTTCCCACTTTTTGTCAAAAGTCCTGCTGCCTGTCAGTGCTGCACTTTGCTGAGATACAACTGTTTGCAATCGGTTCACTGATTGATTTATGTTTGCTTTCCCCATCAGAATGTTGAAGCGTATGATCAAATGAAGTCACAAATCAATTATTGGTTAAACTCTTTTAAAAGCAAGTATTTGAAAACATAATTGAAATCACAAAACTGATCCCCACTAGTAGTAGTCACAAATCCACAATGATGTGTGAAACTCCGTATCATAGTGACACACTAGCACACACAATATTTATACACATGCATGTCCCTGTCATCTAATTTACATAAATGACTCATCCTTCACCTGTCACCACTGTTTTGTTTTCACCTTCACTCTTCCAATTTCCCAATCCCTCTGTTTTCTTGCGCCTTGAGCTTGTGCTTGATGACCTCCTTCAACTGGGGCATTTGTTCTCTTCCTTTCCTGTCAGGTGGGTGTGTTACTCTTTGGCTAAATTGAATTAAATTTCACACCTTGCTGCTGGATTCCGTTGGAAACGCGTCATCACGTAGCTAACAAAGGAGCGCAGGATTGCACTTTCACCCTCTGCCCAAGCCTTGGCTGAGACCAAGGCTGAGTGAGCTCAAATAACACCGGAGGATGATATAATATGATACATGATGATGATGGATAATATATTAATTCATATTATTGATTTTCATTCGCTATATTATAATTACTAAAATCGCAGCCCCAAACGTGACTGAGTTCTTCGCTTGGTGTTCTGCACGGTTCCGCAAGTGCGGATTGAGGCCCAACTGCAGTGATGCCCACACCAATGCTTCCTGAGCGAGGCTGGGTAACAAACTGCTACATTTGACTGTGGTTGGCTATGGTCCAGGGGTTTTCAAAGCTATATATCATATCAGCTATACTAGTCATAATTTGGTACACTGCAGTTTTGTTGGAGTTGTTGTTGCGTTCGAGTCGCAATGAACTCAGTATCCACCGGCAACTGGTCGGCAAACATCGCAAAGAAGGTCAACAAAAACATTCCATTGGACTCTTCTTCAATCTGGCACAAGGAGGTAATTCCGAAAAAGAGAATCAAAACCAATGTGGGTACCTTGTGCTACCCTCTGGCAGTCTCGAAACAATGTTCAAACAAACTTCGATGTTAATACTAATTTATTATGACTAATAGCAGGGTATGATAGCATAATCAAGTAAAACATTATCACAGTATTGTGCATTCCCACTTTTGGGCCACTGCCTCACTCTCCTTGACAGCTTCCGCTTTCTCGCAGCGGTTCATGAAAGTCCAGCGTGGTACCTAAGTGAGAAAAATATATGGGCTGAACTGAAAAAATCAAATATTTGACCCATTAATTAACATTCGAATGGTAATGAGCCCACCAGCATTTAAGCAAAGGTGCTCTCCTGTCATGTATGGACCATCCCCTTGCAGCCCTAAGATCTTGTCGACGCTTCTTCACATAGTCTTTGTCACATAGATCTTCAAAGAAAGTCTGCAATGGCGAAGTGAGATTTCACTTAAACAATTCACCAGGGAACAGAACGATGGTTGATCCACTATTCAGCAATGACTCCCGGCCAGGCCTTCAACAAAACGATCTGCTCTTTAGCTGTGCGGGACATCGCAGATGCACAAAAAAACCGCTGCGGGATGGATGATGGATTGGTGAGACAAAGTGACAAACTCTAATCTGCTTCCCCCCAAAGGCAACATCCATTGATCTTTTATTTTAATTAGCCTTTAATTGTTTAAACGTTTCATGCTCCCAATAAATCCTCACCAGATGAAGGCTGACTGGGGGATGTTCCACCTGGTGCCAGTCCGCTGTTGTAGTCACCCTCAATGTCTTCAAGAAGGCCTGAGAATGAAGGATGAACCATTATTATCCATTATTACGTTTGGTAAATCAAACCAGCATGCCATATTTAAGGTTCGAACACTGACGTAGGCGTTTGTGCATCTCATGGGTCCATGGTATCTACCTTGGCCATTGCTTTTGGGCATCCCTGGGTGTCTCTGACATTGGTAAACGACATAAACAATTAAGCCGTGTCACATATCCATCAGCGGTTTTCCAAATCACATAGCTGAGAGATCCAGTTGCCCACATGCCATGGGCCATCAAAGGCAAAGGAAGTGGTAATGCCACTGGATACCCTTTGAAATTTATGGTAGCAAAATCATTTGTGTGATGTATCTTCTAATTGTGTTGGGAGTGGGACATATTCCTCTTGTTAAGATAGCACCTTCAGGGTCCATTGCTTTGAGCCGTGTAGGCCTCGGCAAGAGCGGGGACACAAGAATACATCATGTTCAGATAAGATTTCACTGAAGTACCATTTCGTAGAACCAAGAAATGGTCCTTAGCTCATTAGAAATGGTCGCCCATGAACAACCATTTAAATAATGGTCGTCGACTTCCAGGGTATATATATATATAAACCCGTGTGAAATCACTTTGGTGTTCAAACATTTTCACAAAAGAGCAATGTTCAAGTGCCCCTGTCGTCCCCTCAAAAACTGCTTGCTTGAGGACGGGATTTCCCCGTGAATGGATTGTGATAATCCTCAATATATGAAGGATAGTTCCACGAACTAATCATCAACCAACCACCATAGACATCAAAGATATCCCGACATCTTTGACAAAGAAATTTCCCTTTTTTGATTCCCTATCATTCATAGATCATTCATAGATCATTCATAGTTATTTCTCATGATATTCCCGTAAATTATAGGTATTTTATGGGGATTCTATTTCTCATTCATTGATATTTATTCCCCGTGATTCTATTGATCATTCATAGGTATTCCCCATAAATCATAGTTAATTGGATAGTCCCCATGATATTCCAATTAAATTATGAATCATTCCATTTTTTGAATATTATGGGGAATACGATTTTTTAATTGGACTATTCCAATGATACTAAATCTATTATGAATATCCCGTTTTTTGTCACTGCTGCCCTCCCAGCTTACCTTCCCTGAGGGGCTGAGCCAGCTCCAGGATCTTCTGGGAAATTTCATCCCCTGCGGACCCGGGCCCTCTGCGAAAAAAAAACATATAGCTGGGGATGTAATACATATATCTATCTCTATCTATATATATATATATACTGTATGTGTGTGTTGTGTGATAATACTAAGTCTGTATATTCTAGGGCTCTATCATATTCTATGATATGATTGTCTCTTTATATCCCAAAAACAAACAGCAAAATCAAACACACAAGGGCATGGTTAACCTTGGATGCCAGTTCAGATTGAAACAAATGATGACCATTTGCCAGTTAGTGCTGCTATATCGCATGACAATCTATTACCACTTGATCTTCGTGAATCTCAAAGAAATAAATGGCATTGGTTTAAGTCTTAAGTTCGGTACAGCAGTAGCATATAGATATATGATGCATATAAATTTGTACAATAAATGATGATACATGTATAAACAAATATAAACAATAGTATACTCATCCGTTCGCTGCAAGAGATTGTCCACTGCAACGATGCATCAATCAAGAAGATCGAGCATCATGGGAAAACCCATCCATCAGGCGTGAGATATGCCTTGCACTAGGGCAATTTACGCTGCCTCCAGTGTAGACGTAGCCGCGGCCGTAGATCTTCTCCTCAGGGTCCCAAACGCCATCGAACATGGCTGGAAAATTCCTTGTTTCAAGTTTTTCTCCACAACAACTTCCATGTATATATAGGGGATTTTCATCTTTGAATGTTACCACAGCGAAATTTGCCTGGCTTTCACATCAAAATAGCGCGCAACTGGATGTTCATCCACCCAAAATTAGTCTCTATAGGATGTATTGAACCATCCTTGCTTGGCTTGAATCAGGATTCAACGGCGAAACTGGGCAAATATAAGTGGATCAGTGGATCTGCTTGACAAACAACAGGCAACCACGTACAGTAATACAACTCAGTTTGCCTAGAATTCATGCCATGTCTTTAATTTTATATCCTCTTCCTAATGTACAATGCACCGGCTGCACCGGTCCTCGAAACCTCAGCAAAATTACACTCAGCCCAAGGGTCATAGCGTAGAATCTTCGCCGGCGCATACTGCCCCGTTTGCAGCGTCATCAAATGTCGCTCACTCGCCGGGCTCACCTGATGAAGAGACCCCATACATACATGATACATTTGAGATCATTTGAATGTCATAAAGATTCTCATATATGCATGGAGCATATAGGCAATAACGCCAAAGAACGCTAATGCCAAGGGAGCCTGGGGCCCATGTTCCAACATTATTTCCCAAGATCGATTGGATTTTGTGCGGTTGCATCTGGGCACGACCTAGCTGATGACGCTTTAGAGTCCTTTGACTGCGATCACAGGTCATAAATGTGGTTACGGTTGCAAAATCTAACATACCATAAATATCCATAAATTACAATTCAGCGGTCCATTAATTAGAGTCCATTACTGCAGAAGATTGCCATGATTCATGGGCCCATATTCACAGCTATGGTCCAGCAGCAACTTTTTCGATTCAAGAGACTTTCTGCCAGCGGAACCAGTACTGGTGCATATTCCCTGGCAGGACAAATGATGGGATTCCAGCGGCTGATTTGTAGCGACTTTTCAGTTTTAGGGTTCTATCATGTTCTATCTTAGATTGCGGGGGTGAAAAGTGCCAAAAGCATCCAAAAAAAGCCCCTGCAAGAATCAAGGAAATACATCACCATTCGAGCAATTACTCATCAAAAATTGTTAACATCACCAAACGTGTATATTTCCCCATTTTCTTGGCACTTGGAGGGTCTCAAACAGACAAAGGGATATTTTTTTGGCAACCCCCACGCCCGCGGGCCTTTCAGCTGCGCGTAACTCTCCACAAAGTTGGTGCCACTGAGCTGGTAGCGAAAGTCGCCTGCCTCTGCATCGCTGAAGAAACCCGAATACCTCGCGACTCGTGGAGTTCGCGCGTTTTTTCCCAACATATGGAGGGCATTTCCTCAAATCATCATATTATTCTTACCGAGTGGCACTGGAGAGTTCTTATATCATTTTATGGGTATTATAGGCTTCTAGGCTGGGTATACCTCGTTCTCGAGTCCCCAGCTGGGTTTCATGGATGACTTCCCCATTGGACCCCAGACATGCGATCTAGGAAATGAAGAAATGGAAAAAACAAATGGAGAAACATGTCACTGGTTGGTGATTTCAACCCTCTGAAAAATATGAGTTCGTCAGTTAGGATGATGACATTCCCAACATATGGAAATTCATAAAAGCCATGTTCCAAACCACCAACCAGGACATGTCCAATTTAGCGCATGATATCCATTCCCAGATCTTCCCCGGTGTTGAGTGATCGGAAAAAATCCCGTTCCCTTCACGGCCAGTGGCTGCTCGGGTGTTCTGTACTTGGTGGGATTGAAGCGCCGTGCCGCGTTGCCTCACCATTGAGTAGCGAAGGTCGAGCTGAGTAGCGAAAGCTGAAAACATTGAAATCATCGAAATCATGGAGGTTAAACATGGAAATAAACCATGTGAAGCGGTTAAAGACATGTTAAAGACATGTTAAAACGAGTTATCGGATTGTCCTGTGCTTGGGAAACTCAATTCGTAGCTCCAACTTGGTTTTCCATTCAATGGGGAATATGTAACATGTATGATGTTTTATCTAGATACCGCAACCCGAACCGATCCCTCCTGTCCGCCAGAACGAGGGCTGGGTCCCAGCTGAACATGAGCACGGTGAGAATTAGACCCTTTGTGGCCATGACCGGCTTCCAGCATCGTCCAATCCCATTTTCACAGGATACACAAATGACCTGTCGACCCACATAGAACCCCACAAAAGAGGCCTCCAAAACAGTTACAACAATCAGCCTATTTTCATCTATTTTCTCCCAAGCAAGAAAAACCATGTACCCTCTGGTAATTTAACATAGCTATTGAAAATAGCCATTTATAGTTGATTTACCCATTAAAAATGGTGATTTTCCATAGCTATGTTAGTTTACCAGAGGGTATCTTAAAAAGCATCAAAAAATCCACCGTTTTTTTTGCCCAAACATCCACCGGAAATCACTGAGATGCTGCGGATGGTCCGAGTCGCCTGAGGCGTGAAAACAGGACTCGCGAAAGAAGACATGGCCTCCTGGCCGTAGCCAACGAAGGAGCTTGGCGGCCAGTTCCCGACATTCCTGCGATGGCCGCCATAACGAAACTTGTTAGAAAGTTTTAAGTGGGGTGGCATATGAGCTTGAAGTACAAAGTCTATCAAAGTGTTGGCTTCAACCTAAATCATTTATGTATAATATGTATACATCCGCACATCCCGGTGACATGTGCATGTGAAAACGATAGCTGTTTAGAGTACAAGCGACGTGACCTCTGGCGCCCCTATTGATTCGTGGTTCAAATCGCCAGTGGAAAGGTTCACTTTGGCAGGTGCGGTCTGCAGGTCCCTTAAATCCCCAGTTGCAACTGCAGCTTCCCCAAAAAGGACAAAAATCGAGCCTTTGCCAAAAACACAGTCCATGTTCAGCAGGATGTAGATAATTCTATGATATTCTATGTCATGACTGAATCCATGTTCCATCTAAGCCAGCTCAAAATTCACGAACATCTCAGTTTGACGAGTAGTCAAAAGCAAGCAGCCAAGTTTCCCGGCCGATGTGCAAACCCCCTCCTCATCCGTCAGGTACATGAAGAGCCAGTTGGAGAAAACCAGGTCAAAAGATCCCGGCGGAAAGTCCCTGAGACTTGACTTTGATATCTTTGATCATTGATGGATGTTCCCAGGGCAAAGGTGCAGGAATCCAAAGGCTTTTCAACTCGAAACATAAGGCTTTCCATGACTTTTCCATCAAAGGTTATGAGCCAAAACCCTGGTACCCTAGGTACCCTAAAATAGCTGGTTAATGGATGGTTTTCCCGTCCAAACATGGCGATCATAGGTTTTGACCCATCCCCAAAATGTTCATACATGTTCCCATAAATTTTCAACAATGGTCTCTTCCCCTTGAAACGATTCTGGGTACTTTTTGGAGCTCCAATTGAGCTGGTTGGGTAACAAATGTGTATCGGGCGGCTTGACACTGCTGGACAAGCGCACCAACGGAGGGGGGAGAGAGAAGAGGGAGCGGCCTAGACATATCATATGATATTAAATGTACGCACACGTACTGCGGCATAATTATACATATTTTTGCTATATACATAGTTGTTTTTTGCTATATATTATATATATATGTCTAAACACGCAAAAAATACGCATGAATGCTTTGAAAGCAGATGTTACCCCAAAAAAGTTCAAGGCCAGCAGCTATGCTTTGGGTGATGCAGCCATCAACCCAGTGCCAAACCTTTGGTCACCCTGCAGCCCAGCCACAAAGTTGTCACATCCGCCTGCCGTTGTTTGGAAACGCCCCAGATTTGTCGCCCCATGGACCGACCATCCCTTCTGGACCCCAATCCTGCGAAACGAGAACAGACACAACTTCTTTGGTAGGCATAGTTAGGCTATCTTAGGTGAATAATAGGTGAATATATCCCGACTTAAATGACTTCAATCGCAGAAAATAGTGAATGAGAACTCGTGAGAAATCGTTTTTTCAATTTTCAAACATATCCCCTTAAAAAGGAAAAACAGAATAATCCAGTTCAGCCAGACCCAGAAAAACCCATGGCCTGTATCACCTCCAAATTCTTCTCCGCGTTGGCCTTGCGATTCTCCACACAGGAGGTCGCCACAAAATCCACCGCTGTGACCTTCCGCGCTTTCCGCGCCAAAACGCCGCTGAAGCGTCCGATGCCAGCACCCAACCTGGACGTGAACCCAGAGGAACATTGGAACTTGGGAAATGCCAGGGGGGTTATGTATGCCATGTATAGCCCACGTAAAACTGATGACATTATATGTATATTTAAATATGTGTATATATATAAAGACTTTGCACGACCCCTTTTCACAGCGCAGCAAGATCTGATTTGTCAAAAGTTAAAAACTCATCAGACAAAAAAGAGAATAATACCATGCTCCCTTGAAAACTCGCCTCATATCCCCCTTTTACATTTCCCTGCCAAGCCAAGGAAATGAAAAGCCTCAGGGAAATGAAAGTACCCCCCTAACTCCAAACCGCCAAGCCGGTTGAAGTTAGAGTCCCAAGTACTTGGAAAAGAGGGCCCCTGCCCATGAGTCTTCTTTTTTGGCCACCTTTCTAGGATTCCTTCCTCTTTAAGGGTGGCTGAGGGTTGGGAGCTTGGAGCCGAGACTGCGGGAAAAGCAGGTTACATGCAAATTCTTTATCCCCGAGGACGTAGGAACAAAGACTTTGCACGACCCCTTTTCACAGCGCAGCAAGATCTGATTTGTCAAAAGTTAAAAACTCATCAGACAAAAAAGAGAATAATACCATGCTCCCTTGAAAACTCGCCTCATATCCCCCTTTTACATTTCCCTGCCAAGCCAAGGAAATGAAAAGCCTCAGGGAAATGAAAGTACCCCCCTAACTCCAAACCGCCAAGCCGGTTGAAGTTAGAGTCCCAAGTACTTGGAAAAGAGGGCCCCTGCCCATGAGTCTTCTTTTTTGGCCACCTTTCTAGGATTCCTTCCACGTCCCCCTGATCTACTCACTTTGTGAGTATGCTCAAGGCTCGGGACATCATGCTCGAGCGATTTACGGTAAACACTGAGGAAACCACGCAGATTTTGCGGGGGAATTTTGATTTCAGCCAAAGTGGCTAGACCTGAGTTGATATAGATTCGGGCGGTCTTTGGAGCGTTCCATCGCCCTTGCACTAACAGCCGATCCAAAGATCCATGTTTTGTGAACCAAAACGTGGCGCCACCACGCCTCAAGCTATAGGGTCTAAATTGGAATTCTTCCAGCCCTAGCTCTGTGAGAGTCTCAGCGAACTGTGCCCTCCATTTACTGGCAGACAGAACGAGTGGCTTCTTAGATGTCAATTTCCAAGCTAAAAGCCTGCGTGCGACATCAAAAACTGAGACAGTGATGCTCTCACTGGCACCCTGCCTTTTTCCACTCTTTGTTAAACCTAGTGAAATGACGGCGGGGCCAGCTTGCCCTGAAATGGCCACATCCTGGGGTCGCACATTTAAAAGTTCACCAGTGCGCAACATGCCATAAAACCCCAGCAACGGTGATAGTGCGAAGGCTGGATCATCCTTTAAAAGTGATCGACCAACCATGGCATGAACCACAGTTTCTGGAAAAGGTGGTGCACGGTTAGGTATCTCATTCTGATTCCAAACCTTCAGCAATCTCCACACAGTGGGAAGATGATTCTTTAGCTGAGGCTCCAGGTTTTGCAATGCCGCCACTGTATCGGAGGCTAATGCTCTCCCTTCACCTGAAGCCCACAGATGCTCAACATAGTCGGCTAGGAGGCCATCCATCTTAGTACGCTGTGTAGGCAGTTCCATGTTTTCAAACCGAAGGAAGTCAAAGAATTTATCCAAAGCTTTGTCATAGCGTCTTCTTGTTGCAGGTTGTACTGTTAACGATTGTAGAGTCCCTAGTTGCCGTCGTTGCTCAATGCGCTCCTGCTTGGTCCGACCCTCTAGGTGTACTTTCTTTTTCGGCATACCTTAATGACCGGCCGCCGTGAGGGCCGATCGGCAGGATTTTGCTTTGTTCCGATGTAGGCCCAAATAGGGACCACACCGGTGGCCAAGAGGAGGGCATTGATACGCGACAGCACAGACCGCATCTTGCGGCTGCTTGACCTACCTCTACTTAAAGAGTGTAGAGCAACTAAGGAATCAGTTAAATGTACAAACCTACAATGCATTTGACGCTTTCGACAGATCCTCCAGCGAAGACATGTGTAAATTGCATGGACTTCCAAGACGTTGATATGGTACCCCTTCTCTTTCCAGGGCCACCCACAGACGGTTTTCCACCTCCACAAACGCCCTGGCACTGAGGACCTAAGTCGATGGAATTTGACTTGATTTTCGGAATCTGCTTGTAACAAAAGATCTTCACCTTTGATAGACACAAAGTTGACGAGCTTCCTGGCCAGCAGCCCCTCTCCAGCCACAGCTTGACCGGCCTTGACTCGCTGCAAACTGGGCCTCCTGAGATACCCTTGCAGCATGGGATCCCCCCCCGGAGACGTCACCTTTACAACATCTCCCAGTGAGCGGATACTAGTCATCCCCAAGGGACCAAACAGCTCCTTCAAAAGCCAGGAGATCACCATGACATGCCACGAATTCCCAATGAGGCTATGCCGCACGTCCAGGTAATTCTCCCCTTTTTGTTGGCCTTTGGGTAAGCACGCAGCGGTGTAGTCAAGCGGGAATCCCATGGCCACTTCTTTCTCCTGAATGCTGGGCAACCTGAACTGACCATCCTGACTTCGTAGGCAATGCTTGTCGCGGTATACGTAAGGAGGATAGCGATGCTTATCCTCCCACCAACGTTCCCGCTCCCAGTCAGCACACTGCCATAATCCCGCCGGTCTATTTCCAGGTTTTTCCCTGGGGCGAGGGGTTGTGAAAGTAGGTAGTTTCCCTTCACTACCCAATTCCCATCCAGACAGTAGGAAATCCTTAACCGCAATATCATTGCTGAGCACCACTTCGGTGTAACCAGCCCAACCATCTTTAGGATGATCCTTGAAAACAACCCCCGGAGCTGCTTGGAGCTCCCAGCTAATCCAGTAGAGGCGCGGCCTCCTGCAAAGAGAAATCCCCGCGGCATCAATGAGGTAAGGGCAGCATTCCATATGCTCGCTCATCACCCTTCTGTCCTGCTCGTCCATCGATGCCACTGATTCCATCAGCGAATGGACCTGTGACCAGGGAAACTTGGCCTTGACCAGCTGGTAGACACGCTTGACATGGACAAACAGGTTGCTTCGGGCATCCTTCAGTGCCCCTTTCCGGTCAGCGTTAAGTCCAGAGACCCCCTGACATGGGGGGCCTCCACCAACCAGCACCACGCCCACATTGCTGTATTTGGCTGCCCATTGCGTCACCATCTCCTCTGTGATGTTCGCAACGTCCCCAACATGTTCAGCATCAGGAAAGTTGCTCTCAAGGACTCTGCTCCCGGGACCGGAGACCTCAGCACTAATGTGGCCTCCCATGGGCAGCTTCAAGGCATCTGCACTTACCCTGAGTGCCCCAATCCCATCAAAAAGCCCCACTGTGAGGACCTGTATGTGATCTTCAGGTTCCGGTAGGTCACCTCGTACCTGGCAATGAGCAGCATGGGCACCCATGGGGGTCAGGCCATTGCTGACGCAGAAACCACCTCCCCACTCGGAGGCGTCACTGACAGTGACATCTCCCCGAACCATGGCCCGCAAGTTCATTTGGGCCAGAGGCACCGCACAAATGAATCTAATGAGCTCCAGCTTCACGACAGTGGTCAGAGGTCGCTTGACAATCGGCGGCTCCCCCTCAAATTGTGTAATGAAGGCCCAAACTCCATTGAGCATCCCTAGCATGGGCCTACGGAACATCGCACAATAGATGAGTCCTCCACAAACCACCTGCATCTGTTTCTGATTCGCCTGCCCTTCCTTCAGAAGGTTGATGGCAAGCTCTACATACTTCATAACCTTGACTGGCTTTGGCCGAACTTTGCCTGTCCTGCCATCCACCAATGCTCCCTGAATCTCTGCCACCAGCTCTTGCTGGACAGCTTTCTTGGGGTGCCGTGGCAGGCCCCAAAACTGATATCCCTCACGCAAAGCTAAGGACTCTGCAGAGATTTCCCCCCGAATACGAGCAGCTAAATGGGCATCCATTTTTTCCAGGGAGTCAAAGTTATCAAGGTAAATTCTGTAAAGCCACTGAGCACTTGAACCTGGCCTATCACGCCTCATCTCATTTTGAGGTCCTATACCCTGTCCAAGTCCATGAAGGGACATCCGTGCAATTCGCCGATGAACATGCTGGGCAATAGATACACTATTGATGAATCCCATTGGCAACACCAACGAGCACAAATAGCAGGGCTCCTGCACCCCCCTTGGGGCCAAGGAGGCAGGTACCTGCCTCCCAAAGGCCAAAAACTTGTGCCAACTAGGGGGTACGCTAAAAATGTAGAAAAAACACTTGATGTCCTCTGAACTCATGATCAGAAACTCTTCCGGCCCCAATACAACACCTCCCATCCCAGTAACTGCCGGCAAGGTGCTCACGTCAGCGCCCAAGCTCCGACACAGCTTGTTGACCGGGACCAAATTCATGATCAACCTGTGCACTGCAATTCCATTGACAATTTCATCTTTGGTGACCCCGAATAAGCCGTTCAGCAATGGTTTGTCTTCAATGTGGTAAATCTCTGACTCTGAAATTACTCGACAAACCCCTTTAGACAGGAGTCCGGAGCAAACCTGCTCCCAATCATCATCATGTACAAACACCTTTGGCGGCTTTGTGTAAACATGGGATTCAACTGGAAGTAGATAGTTCTCGACATGAACCACATAATCAAGGGTACCCATCTCACAAACCTCAACCAATGGAATTGAGCCTATCCCCTCAGGAAGTGCAGGTGAAATGTTTGACCATGAAAAAGACCTCGCCAATCTAATCTCATCCCCTTTATAGTCCACAGTTCTTACAGCCATAAAGTCGTCCCACAGAAGCCCCTCAAACTTTTCCTCGGCCAACTCGGACTCCTGCACAGTCGACGCCAGACCCGACAGGGCCATCCTAGTCGCCACAGGTGCCAAGGACATGTCAGTCCACAGGCTCCCATGATAGGAGTTCAACGCCTTGCAAACTCCGCACAGCAGGCTAAGCTGACCTTCAGGAAGATGGCCAACAATGGCTTCAACTGCCCTTGGGCAATCAGGTAGGGGAAAAGGCCCCCCTGAGAACTGGACCTTGCTGCGTGTAAATCCACATGTTTCCTCGAGCATTGAAAAATATGAAACCAAATTGGTGGCCATGTCTCCCAAGGTCTTCCCCTTGGTGGTGAAAAAATCTGGCCCCTGCTCAGGTCCGGTCGGCCCCGATCCAGCAGCCTTCATGAAAGAAAGCGGCGCCGGTGGAGAGCCACAGGCTGGCCTGAAACGGCTCTCCTCACCCGCACCCGCTGTGTCGCATGCATCAGCCTCGGAGCACATCGGCTCCCAGCCAAATTCATCCTCTACTTCTTCTCCTTGTCCTTGTCTTCTCTCACATGCCCTCCTTTGTCTCCTTTCGATTTGCCCTTTCCTTTGCCCTCTCTCTGCTTGCCTTTGCCCTTCTCGCCTTCTTGCCTTCTCTCCCAATCGTGGGGCCGGCTCCATGGACGAGCTGAAGCCGACTTTGCCTTGGCCTCCTCCTTCTCCAGTCTGGAAGCTTCCAAAGTTTCCATTGGAGTTGACATCACCGCCACCTCTTGCGGGACCAACTCCTGTCTCTGCGCCGCGCCGTAGTAAGATCCCTGTGCGATCTGTTCTAGGCTTTTCAGCCTCTGCGTGATCGTGTCGCAGGTGGTGGCTATCTTGCCTTGTAATAGAAGATCTTGTAGAAAGCACAAAGTTTGTGCCTCCCTGTTCATCGGCCCTGACATTCGTTTGGTCAGATTCAGCCTCCAATGCTGGGAGAACAGGGGCGGCAAGGACGACCTGTCGATGTCCCACGGCTGTCCCGACTGGGATACCAGCGCCCCTTGTATCATCTCCAGGGCATTGAGTGTCAAAGCGCCTGGAAAGCGCTTTGACACCATCTTCACTTTCACCTCTTCTCCAAAAAGGTGTCCTGGATCTTCCACGGAGCCCTGGCTCCCAGATGAAGTCTCCTCCGAACTTGTCTGGCTCGACGATCCTCTCTTGGTCCTCCTTCTGGCTGCTCTCTTGGCCTTCCTTCTGACTCTTCTTCGTATCCCTGGCGTAGGATCCAGAGCGGTGGTGCCAAAGACCGCTAGTAACTCCTTGGTTCCTGTAATCTTGTTCTTGCTTCTGGCTTCCTTCTTCTTTGCCTTCTTGGCCTTCTCCTGCTTCTTCTTTTTGCGGCCTTTCCCACTCTCGGAGCTGCTGGAGCTCCCCGGAACCCCAGGGGTTATCGGAGCCCTCTGCTCCCCTGTCGTCTCGGCAGCCCTCTTTTCTGCTCTCTCCCGAAGCCTCCTCAACTCGTCGACTTCCATCGCTCCTCTGCCTGCGGCCACCTCGACCAGATTGTCCATCCAGGCTTCTTTGTAGCTGGGGGTCAAAAGCCTGACCTTCAATCCATGCAGGAGTCCATCCTTGGACAGCTTGCTGCAGTCCACCGGACATAAGTGGACATCCAGCCACTTGCCCGGATGTGCCCCTGACCATTTGACCAGGGCCTCTGCTTCCCTTCCAGCTTTAGCCTCACGAGCGTCTGGTCCTCGTCCATGTGCAGTCCTTTTATCATTCCGGCAACCTTCACTTTCTCTTCCCAATAGATTGCCTCGGTGAATATCACTCGAATGCCCACCTTCCATGATGTCAGTCCAAGTTGATCTACAGCAACCTCCTGGCCACTGTCAAATACCTCGGAGACCTCCTCGCCTCCCCGAATGCCCTCCTCTTCTGCCGCCGGGCGACGTAAACCTCTGCCCAGCCTAGCTCCTCCAACTGCCAAGGCCTTTGCTTTGGCTTTGACTTTGGGGGCTCCTCTCACCCCTCCAAGTCGTGGACCTGCAGCAGCAGGCCTCCTCAGACCTTTTGGTGGCATCAGTAGTGGGGGTGACCACGATGGTTCTTCCTCCACGCCTTGAACTCCCCGAAGAGAGCTTGTTGCCTCCTCTTCTTTGCCCCTTTGTTGCGGGCTTCTCTATGTATCCTCCTCTCCGGATCCCTTGGCCGGTTCTGAAAGGAAGGGATTGGCCCTTCCCACCGCCCGTGCCCACTTGCTCGGGGTGGTGGTGGCCCTGGTGGGCTCCTGGGTCGTAAAGGGGACCGACGCCTGGCCTCCCTTTCGTCCTCCTCTCTCCTATGTCCTTCTCTGGAACGCGTCTTCCGCTCAATCCTCTCTGGTGACAGCTGCTCTGGTGCAGTCTGCCTGGCCTCAGGCCTTCTATACCTTGGCAAGGCTTCCCGACTCCTGTCTGTCCTCCTGCTTCTACTCCTTCTGGGCGATAACCTCCTTCCTGAAGGTGCTGATTCAATGAACTCCTCTTCTTCTCGTTCTCTCCTTTTCTTCTCTTTCTTCTTGGACTTTCTTTCTTCTTTCTCTTCCTTGGCCTTTACGTTTCCTTCTGGGCAATGTGATGTATCCTCTTCTTCCTTTGCTCCACCTGCTTCAGCTCCGACTCCTCCTGCTTTGCTGTCTCCGGACCCCTCTCCCTTCACGGCAGGCTTTGCCTTAGGAGTGGTATTCAGCGGCAATGGCGCTGCTTCCAAAGGTCTCTTATCAATGACCCCCGGAGGGCACTCAGATGCACCTCCCAGCGACCGGAGCTCCGCACTCTTGGCTTCACCCTCCTCCAGGACCTTAAAGTACGAGTCCCTAAGGGTGACCTCAGCGAAATGCCCAGCCTCCTTGGGGAAGTTCTCCGACAACACGAGTCCGCGCAGTCGGAAAAGTGTGCCACACAAAGCACACCTCAAGTCAGAGCAAATTGCCCCAAACTTGCCTTGACAGTCAAGGCACCGGAGACTTCCGTCTCCCATTCAAAGAGCTTGGAGCCGAGACTGCGGGAAAAGCAGGTTACATGCAAATTCTTTATCCCCGAGGACGTAGGAACATGTGTGTGTGTGTGTATGTATGTGTATGTATGTATGTATGTATGTATGTATGTATGTATGTATGTATGTATGTATGTATGTATGTGTGTGCGCGTGTTTTTATGTGGTTATAAAATGTTATAAACATTTATATATAAACAACAGTAATTCACCAACCTGAAAAGTTAAGCTATTTTTTAAGGACACAACTTAGCCCTTACTAACCATCAGTCTAGTGGCATCGCATTGGAAACAGTTTGCAAATAGATGGGTATGGATGAAGAAGAACCCTTGCAACTGGGATGTTGGGATGGAATATGCTATATAAACTCATATGATGCGATTCATGTGAGCAATTGGTGGCAAAATACGAAAGAAACATCATCTTTCAGGATCATCCCAGTTCCAGTGGCTTGCTGCTATGGCTTCAAAAACATCACTAGGCATGGTCCGCTGCCCTAGCTGAGCCCCCTGACTCCAAGACCTCTTTGCCTGTAAAGCTTGGAATCTGAGAGAGGATCCTCAGTGGAGGCCCTGCTCAACGATGTGAAAGTTACAGCATCGGGGGAATCATACCAGGTACGTGGAAAGAAATATGTTGGACAACGTGAAACATGTTGAAATATGTGATTGGGAGAGGATGTATATATATATAATTGATTTACAGAAAGGACTTTCATGGACTTTCTATACTAGTCAAACCGCTGCCTGCATGGAAGCTGTGTCTTTCCTACTATAATGGTGTTCTTCACTTGACATGTGCACATTCATAAAGGTGCAACTAACCATTCGACGAGTAGCTCCATACTGCTTCCTTACTTGTGGCTTCTGGGAGTTTCAAGCATGACAATGAATACAAATTCCTGCATGGATATGATGTGATGAATATAATGATATGCATATGCTGCAGCAAACAAAAGTGCGATGTGAATCGTAACGTTGAAATGATATTCATAAGCCCCTTCAAAGAAAGAGTCGCACTTGCTAATAACCCCTGGGGAAATCCCACAATAAACTGACTGGAATGTGTTTCGAATTGTCTTTAATTATCTTTAATTGATAATCCAATTTGTCCTAGGAAAGCGCCAAATCGTTTGGCAAATACATTTTGGACATCTCTGACACGAATTCTCGCATAGGTGCGGAGGAGGGAGGCTTTAATCCCAATGCCATGTCAATGTCACAGAGATCGCATCTATACTCAATTTTCTTTTGCCCCAAATCCCATGGTTTCTATTGGTTTCTCGTCATTTCCGAAAAAACAATTGCCATATTTTCGGAAAACATCCCCAGGTTGACGATGTCACCGGCTGCTTTTTTCCCGGCAACCAGGAGACTCAGGCCTTTCCAACTTATCGATGGAGGCCGCATCATCGTCCAACATCATTTTCTCAATGGTTGGTGCCGAATGATCCGCCCAATATTCCTGGCAGGTTGAATCTACTCTAAATGGTAAACGTTTACAAAAAACTATGGAAAGATCCACCATTGTTAATGGGTAAATCCATGTAAATCCACTATTTCATACTATTTCTATGGCCATTTTCAATAGCTATGTTAGTTTACCAGAGGGTAATATAGCATACCTTCTGGTTATTTAACATAGGGAACTGGAAAGTCGCCATAAAACTAAATATCTATAAATGGGTAAATTTCCATAGCTATGTTAAGTATTGTTAAGTAACCAGATGGTAATCATCCCCATTTCATATGTTTTTCATCCCTCCAGAAACCTTCTTGGGACCATCTAAGGGATGAAGCTCACATCATTTTGGGACCACTTGGGGGATAGGATCCATCGAATCCAATAATCCAACCGATCATCGGAAGCCATGTGTAAAAAGCCGATTTAAAAACCAGAAATCAGATGCTAACCCTCTGGTAATTTAACATAGCTATTGAAGATGGTTGTTTATACATGTTTATACTGTTTATAGGTGATTTACACTGATGTGAAAGTAAGTGGCACCGCTTTCACTTTTTGGGCTCACTTTAATAGATGGCGCAGACAACGGTATTTGGAACAGACGGACACTGAGAAAATACCCGAAATCTGCCCAAGTGTAGATGGCGCCGCACTGGGAGTTGCGCCATCTACGTGTGCCGGGTTCTATCCAAATGCGCAAATGATGTTGCTTCAAATTATATTATGAAAGCAAGCGCCGGATCAAAAATGGTGATTTTCGATAGCTATGATAGCTATGTAAACGTTTACCGGAGGCCAATCAGCACCAAGCCATGCATCCCATGCGCCAGGGCACAGCAAATTCAGCTCGCTCTTTGTCAAGCTTGTTCCTCGGGTCCGTCCAGTTGGTCGAATTTTTTTTGGGATCTGACAACCGGACCTGCCATTTTTGGGGGCAGCTTTGAGCGGAAAAATACATGAAAAAAGTATGAAAAATAGCCATTTTTATGTGGGATAATGTGGGCAATCCAATGCCAGCTACCACTTGGAGATGGTGAAAAAACAACCCATTGATTGGGGGATGGTTTACCATTGGGATTTCCACATTTATCTGCAGTGATTATGAACCATTAACCATCGATTATTAACCATGATTGTTAACCATTAACCAGTATTAACCATTATTAATCATGATTGTTAACCATTAACCATTATCAACCATTAACCATTATCAACCATTAACGTCCATTAACCATTAACCACTATGAAGCATCACCTTAATTGGATCGATTCTCAGTGTCTTGTCACGCAAAGCCTTGAGGTCGGTGAAGCAGCTGCGCCAGTCGATGCTTTTGTAAAGATGCGTCCTGGACGGTCCCCAAGTTGAGGCAAACTGGCATGGTATAACCTTGGGAACTTCAAGTCCATCATTTTTGGAATATGGACCTCCCCCCAAAAGCTATAGCATACTATAGAAATACGATAGCTATATATCCAAGTATAGATCTCATGTTGTGATGTGTTCAGCAACATAGGCCATTGCGAAATAGATGGAGTATATCATTCATGGCACAAAGCTGGTGAGGAATATGTGAAAAATGCTCAGGATGTTTTTTGCGCCAAGGGGCAACTCTTCCCCCTTCTCGATATCTCTGATGGCGTAAATTTCAAAAGTGTCCTGGTGCGCAGCGAGGCAAAAAAAAAAAAACTGGCTGTTGACTAGCGACCCAAGATGTTCCAACGTGGTTGCCATGGCAAACCCTACGATATCTTAACAGATCTTAACTGGTTGGTGGTTTTAATCATCTTGAAAAATATGAAAGTCAATGGGAAGGATTATCCCATATATTATGGAACATAAAAAATGCTTGAAACCACCAACCAGTTAATGTACTGGAATCTGGGAGCAAAGGTCCACAATGGATTTGGCTTGAATGGGTCACAACCCCTGACACCACCATCATAAGCGGGGTGCAGGGTTGCACCCAAACCAGCCCACACCAGCATGATAAGTAGGTTACATTTCTAACTACACCTGTAGTTGCTAACAATCAACATAGGAAACTATAAATCCGCTGTTATGAAATTAAATTACATCATATAATAGAAAAAGTATAAACAGAATAACCCCCTACCAAACTACAGATTTTGTTTACACAAAATACTTTTCATAGCTACTTTTAATAAAGAGCTGTTAGTCATTGACTGCAGGGTTCATCCCATGTCTGCCAGGACTCATCATCCAAATTTCGGGTCATCGAAGTATTCTCTGACCTGGCGACCAGCAAAACCAGAGTCGGTTTCGCAAGTAATTTTGAGTGTTGAACCATCCTTTAATTTGCGGGAAAACCAGACGTTGCGCCACGGTATAGTCTGATATATGAAAGGCCACCCTGGTTTGAAAGACTGCCACTAGAAAAAGACAGAAACAAACAGTGTCCATGGTGTGATGGTCAAACCTCTATGTAGGCCATCCCCATCACCGAGGGACCCATCCAAGGAGGCATTGTAAAACACGGAGCATCCACTGCCGGTGGCCCAAACTGATCGGTCCTGGCGCTAAACCGAGCGAAATCCAGGCAGTACATATGCTAGGAATTAATAGAAATTAGATATGCCGTGAGTAACGGCCATGAATTTCGCATGAGTGTCCGCAAATTAATAGGATTGTTTTTTGTTTCCTTAAGTACTGTACTGTACTGTATGCTAGTGTATGTAGTATAATTACAATGTTCTGCATATATTGAAAGAGAGAGAAAGAGAGAGAGAGAGAGAGCTGTGCATGTGTGCAGCGTGTGGCAGGTGTGGGCTGGAAGATTTGTGAAATACAAGCAAGATCAAGCAAGTACTTAATAGATCTTGACTGGATATGCTGTCAAAAACGATTACCCATTGGTCATCCAATCTTATTCCTCATGCTAGCTGTCTGAGTCCAGGTGGGGAAAATCATGAAATGGATCGAAATGGGCGGGTGTTGTGCAAAAGGTGGTTACAAAATAACGTTCTGATGCTAAAAGTAGGGAATGGGGGAATGGAATGGAACGGGATGATTGTCAATAGTTGTTATGGATCGTTCCCCCATACGTTTAGCACCGGATAGTCTGGCTGAATTCTAACCATTCACCAAGCTGCAAACTTTGAAAACTTCAAGTTCGGCCGGCACTTCCCCCCAGGGATTCCGGGATTCATGGCGCCTCACTCCAAGTGAAGACATAGGGACACTCGTTCCCATCCACAGGCCTCGAATACTCACCCTGGGGAACTTAAGAAGTTGGCCCGGAAATGGAGGAAACACCGGAAACACCATCCATATACCACCCTTTTTCTGAAAAACTTTTAAGCATCCTTTTGGTGGTTAACTGAAACATCTCACGAAGCAAATGAACCACGTTTCTTGATCCTATTTATTCTGCCCAATTGGTTGCTTTACCCAAAATAACTTGGATCTATCACTGTTTAGGCTGCCCTCAAATGGACCCCCAAATCCAGCAATAATTTATACGTAATCATATGAAAGTTGTAATTTTACTGGTGAACCCCCTCTCATTTTTTCGGGCAAACTATCGCGTCAATCCCTATGTTTGATAGTTAAATGCCCATTTTGGCTGCTCAAGTTCCCCGCTCCAAGACAAACCCAAAGATCTTAGGCCGTTATACCCCATGAAATACCAGCCTGTAAACTAATATATCTTGGGAAAATGAACCATTTCCAATTTAAAATGATGATGTTATATATGATGATTATGATGTCCATAGTGATGCCAGTTTACTGCGGGGTATTTGGATAAAGTTGGATCATCGCGGTAGATGGGCGATGGGATTAGCTAACTGGAAAGGTAACTGGGTTATAAGTGGGTTATATCACAGTTACTAACCAGTTACCGTGGGGGAAGCCCATCTCAGTAAATAGGATTTCATTAGACTTTTTGACACTTATAGCTCAGAATACCAGGTATAAGTCAGTGAAATAACCCCCATTTCTGGGGTTCGATCAACCCCATTTCCAACCATGTGGAGGTTTCCTAACTTGCGGGGACCCCAATTTTTCTCGTCCATCTGATTTTCGGATTTTCCATAACCATCCAGCTATGGGCTATAATTAGCGGCTATGGGGGTAGGTTACTGCCGAGCTGCAGTCGCTGCACCACACCGCGCTCCACCACGTCTCCCTTGCGAATGGGCTCTGTGGCATAGACGCCTACACCGCCCCAGGCATCTGGGCGAGCCTCAGCTGGAAGATTTAGCAACCAACAAATGGCAAAAATATATCAAACTGATCAGAAAACACTGGTTTCGGATGATTTTGGATGGTTTTTGGATGGTTTTGGTACTTTCAAACGATCATGTTTTGGAATGCGTGAGGAAAAGAAAATGAAGAGTTTGTGATACAAACCCACCAACATCAACCAATTATGGGCACACAGTCTACAAACTATATTAATCCAGTCCATGTGGAACGTGAAGCCTCCAAGCATTCAACCTCTTCATGTTCAGCCGATTGCTTCACAACTTTTCCCGCGGAAGTTGTGATTTTCTGCTGAGGGGCCTCCACTTTGGAGCAATCTACGAGGCTTGGCTCCTTCTGGCAGCGGGGGATGAACATTGCCTTCACAACTGCCAGCAACCACCGCGAAGATAGTAGAGTAACACCTTACTAAAATGGGTACGGTCAATGATAAGCCCCAAAAAAAAGACTAAATGGATATCTGGTCTATTTGAGGCTTAGTTGACCCCTCCTCCCTAATATCAAATTATCTTGCCCGGGCCTCCTGTCCATGATAATACGTAATGTATTCCCTCCTGTAATCAAACATGGCAACGGAAAATCCTCCATGTATAATGCATACCTCTTAAAACCTTCGTTTGGTTCGGGGATTTTGAATTGCCATGTGGTAAACTCATGAATATGTCCATGATATCCTACTTATAGTTGATTTTAGATCCCATAAATCCATGTTTTATCCTATCCGTGGCTATATCACTATGATACATCCATTTATATCACTGTAGCTACAAGATTATCAGATGTTACAAGTATCATAAATATCTATATATATCATATATATATCATATATATCATATATATCATATATATCATATATATATATCATATATATCATATATATCATATATATCATATATATCATATATATCATATATATCATATATATCATATATATCATATATATCATATATATCATATTATATCATATTATATCATATATATCATATATATCATATTATATCATATATATATTAACCCAATATAAACCATTGCCATAGTTATTGGAGTGATTGATGGTTCTATCATGTTCTATCACTACTATAATCACATAAACCAATCAGATAAACCCCGGACGCTCCTGATGCTGCGACTGCGGACGATCGATCTTCGCTGGGCCTGGGTCGAACCCCCCCCCCACGGTATCTAATGTTTGAAAAATCATGGCAAGATATGGAAAATCCAATCTTAAAATGATGCAAATGAATGGAAATGATGGTCACTTTAGCTTTTTCTATCATTTTTGGGAAGTAGCTACAAATCAAAGTCGTGCATATGATAGATTCTGATAGACAAAATCACTCATGTCACATCATCCGCTCCAATTATCTAAACGAAGTATAGGAGAAGAGACAACAAATCGCAGAAACATTGGTCTTTCATCTCATTTGGGGGCGGGAGTCCAACCGTAATGCGGGAAACCATGGGAAACCCCATGAATCCAATGATAAACCTATCATGTGGGTTATGCTTTACACAACTTATTGGATAATCCTATGGTGATTTTGGCCATGACATGGCTGAATCTGGGGATCTCTGGGGGACGATCATCAACTGATCATCAACTCCACGTCATTGCGGCAATTCCATCACTCCATTGCGATGTGTGTGTGTGGATGACTTATTTTTCTGGTCACAGAAAAGGGGCATTTTTATCACATCCCTGAACTAAATGGAGGTTTCTAGCTGGGAAAATGGTCTATAAATGGAGGTTTCTAGCGGGGAAAATACGGAAAATCATCTACAAACGGATGTTTTTTGGAGGATTTTCCAGCCAGAAACCCTGTCATTGACACCGGAGGATATGATCAGGACAACCAACATCAACAAATCCGCCCAAAAACCGGTCCTTTTCACTGGGCAAGTATCTTAAAGTTGAACATTCCAAAGTACCAGCAAAATAAAAATCCATTGGAACACCAGTCTACGTTTCCTAATGGTAAATGTAAATGTTTGTTGTAAAACAAGCGCTGAAAAATGCTGTAAGCAAAACAACGCCGCCTCTCCAAGAGAGGCTCTCATCTAACCTGAGGCCATCTGACGCTCCACGTCTTGACAAATATCCCCGGTTTCAAGTTCTCAATTCATCCGAATACATACCGTAATTATATGCAATCATATGCAATCATATGCAATCATATGCATATATCCGGGATATCCGGGGATGGGAGGTATTACTAACAGTTGTGACATCTGACTGAACCACTTTTCACGTTCGTTGGTCACGATGATTTGGTCGGCCATCATGCCGTTTATGGCAAGGTCACTGCTCAGCTTGGTTGAACCCCCCAAGTTTCGCTGAAACCTGTTTTTTTAACCTGTCGAAACCTGTTGAAACCTGTTGAAACCACGTGAAATCTGAAGTTTGGCCCATCAAATCCCTTTTTCTCATTCTCCCATTCCCGCTGTGATTTAAGGGGAAAACCTTCACCGGTTTTTCCACAGCCTGTTTGGGTGTAAAAATCATGTTTTCCCAAGTTTCCTACAGAATTTCCCTTCAACTATTGATTCTGCCAAAATCACGGTTTCCCGTGAAGAGTTTCTCAACAAATCCAAGTTTTGCTGATCAAATGCCCACTCAATTCTTGGCTTTATTATCACCAGTCTTGGCAGGTAAATCATCATGTCTGATGATTAAATCACCATTTTTGTTGGTAGAAATGACCATTTCTGAGTCCCAATGTTTGTTGGTGAAATCTCAAACAAATGGTGCCGGAATCCCATGACCAAAGCACAGGGTCAGCTCCTCATGGGCTTCGATATCTCGCAGGGCCAGCACCTCGTAACGCCCGGCCTGCGCGAAGAAAATATGATATGGATTGATATGGGGGGTTCTTAAGTCATGGAGGATCCCCAAATTTTAACCATCCTTTAGTACCAGAGGGAAATTCATGAATATTCCCATGATATCCTAGCTTTTGTTGATTTTAGATTCCATTAATTCCACTTATTTCTATCCTACTCTCGGTGGTTATATCATGTTATATCACTATGAAATGGAGGTTTCCTATTTTTTTGGGTGCCCCAGTCGTCACCATGGTCATCCATGACCTGGGCGATTTGGAGCCTGGATTGGAAACCTGATGGGGAAAGTGGTGGAAAATAACCAGTGGGAAAAGAACCCGAAAAACCACCATTTTTAATAGGTAAATCAACTATAAATGGCAATTTTCAATAGCTATGTTATATTATCAGAGGTTAATCTGGTTGGTGGTTTTAACCATCTTGAAAAATATGAGTTCGTCAATGGGAAGGACGACATCCCATATATGATATGGAAAATAAAAAATGTGCCAAACCACCAACCAGACTAATATGATGGGAATAGGTTTCAATCATGTCCAAACATTTAGGAACAAATCCTAAACACACATGATGATACTTAATGATAACTATCATGTGGCTGGGAAACTCTGATTTTAGTTCCTTGGCCCCCCATCTAATCTGCATAATTACGCAAAGTTCCGCAGCTCTGTTTGTTTCCCATGTCCTCGTCCGCACTAGGCACCAGTTTTGCCGACGCCTCGCCGGGCCAACTGATACTGTCGCAATTATTGGGCAGCAGCAGCAACAACACCGAAAATCAGCAGCAAAGAAGCACTGTAACACTGTAAGCGTTTACCATTCAAGAATTCAAGACCTTGAACATGAAGAACAGCACCTAATCACAATCTTGAACACCAACATTGACTCAACTTAATGTTACCCGATCCAAAAGGTAAAAAAAACACCACCTAAATGCAACATTCAAAGCTTACTGGACTCAAAGTTACAAAATGATGCCCTACAAGTAGATGCTCACCTCGAAAACGAGTTCAGAAAATCGTCGCGTCTTGCATATGTTATCAAAAAATATAAATATATATATATATACCCTCTGGTTATTTAACGTAGCCATGGAAAATCACCATTCTTGATAGGTAAATCACGATGAATCATCCATAAATGGGCCATTGTCCATAGCTATGTTAAATAATCATAATCAGAGGGTACATATATATATATATATATATGTAATATATATAAAATTGTTTGAATGAAATGTCCCTCACCTTATTTGATTTCCAGGACTTTGGTGACTTTGGTGATGGGATCTGATGGGAAAAATTTAGGCACGATGACATGCCAGCTGTGCCCGCAGAATCCCATGGGCCCATAAGCTTCTCTTTGTAGACACGACTTGTTGTTTCCTGCAATAGTTATAATTGATGGTAAATGATGGTAATAATATGTATATAATAATTAGATATAATTAGTGGTTAATGATTACTCATGGTGGTAAACAATGTCATAAAATTACCATCCATGACTGGGAATGGTACCACCTATAAAAATGGTGATGACTGGGGGATGGTGCAAATGGCATTGTTTTACCCACACTATTGGAAGAAAGCCCCTGTGGAAGAAACCCCCATGAGGGTCGGTTTTCGGCTGCGGGCTTCGGAGGGCTTGGTGGTGTAAAACTGCACACAGCCGCTTCCTTGGCAGCCACAGAGGTCCTAGGAGTTATCACCAAGAAAACAACAACCCGCATAAATTGCAGTAGCTCACAGACCTCAGATAATTCAGAGTAAGGCTATTTATGGCTATTTGGGGGTCATTCCCCATATTACACTTCATTCCAGTGACGTCGCAGTGAGGTCGTTATAATGCCTGTGCTGAAGTCATCTTCTAAGCCTGAGTTGCTGGCATTTTTCCACTGTCAAATCTGCCAAGCTTTAATTTCCATAATATTACATATGATGCACATGTGAAGACATGTGTGTGTGTGTATTTGTGTGTATAGCATCCCCCCAAAGAAGAAAAGTCAAATCCCAATCTACAATAGATGCAATAGGCATAACATAACTTGAAGCTTTTCCAACAAAGATGGGGGGTTTGGTGCTGCCCATCCTCTTGAAGAATAGGCTCCGCTGGCCCAGGTCGACGAACTACTCGAAGGCCAAGGGTGGACCAGGGTACATTGCTTCCTGAACGGGGAGCCCAAGCGCGTGGTGCAGTGTGAAAGGCCAAAAAATGGAACTAGGGATTCCATGGGATTCCCAATGTTAGATCTCCTGCAATTTTTCGAAGGGGTTCCTAGAATGGGGGTACCCCAAGTCACCATGGGTTTTAAGACTAAAATGATCCACTGAATTTTGGATGATTCGTTTTGCAGCTGGCTCAGCCCTTGCAGCCTGGCCACCCATCCACGGGCAAGATGCGCACCACACCCTGTTCCACCTGTGCCAGGTGCTGTTGGACACCGGTGCTCAGCCAGTAACTGTAGGTTCGGGATGCCACTACGCTCACTGCCAGTGATTGGCATCCCTGAAAGTCAATTGACTCATTCTACCCGTCACAGTAGTCTGTCTCTCTCTCTCTCGCTCTCTTCATCACCATCTGTCAAGACTGCCAGAGGCGGCGGCGGGAAAGAAAGTAAGAGACAAGTTCTAAAGCGGGGGCACAGCAAATGGCGTGCTGGAAGGAAATTATACAAAATAAAAACATGAAAACTGAATTCTTGTACAGCCATGCACAAACCCGCCAAAAGTACATATCGGGGACAGACTCAATCCTGGCCCTGAAATGACATGTCTTGACTCTAGAAGTTATTCAGTCTACAGATGCACTGGGCATTGCCAATGCAACAAAGGAAAGCGCAATGAAGGAAACACTCTCAACAGAACTGGCTGCAGGGCCCTAGCATGTACATGGAGGCCCCGAAGACCGAGCTGCCGGAGCGGGGGCATACGTGACCCAAAAGCCAGAAGGCAAGCGGGCCCACATGAGCTGATCCGAAAAGAAACCAAACAGCCACAGGCATCTTGCAGAGTGGCTGAGGGCGCGAGTCAATCCGCGCGCTCCAGCTGCTGACAGCTGAAACAAAGGTGAAAGTGAAACCAAGGGGTGAGAATGGCTTGGCTCAGACGTGGTCAGAAGAGCAAGAAGAGCGGGTAGTGAACCCATCAGTCCAGGCGCCGTAAGACAGCTCTAGCGTTTTCGCGCTGCAGCGCGATGCCCAAAGATTGAAGGAGGCGCTGCGATTCCACAGAGCTGCCTTCACCAGTGCGGGCGGAAATCGCCTCACCCAAGGAGCGCCAGGTTTTCAAAGCAATGGGCCCCCAGCCACCACCGCACGCTTCAACAACGAGCGGGACGAACTGGAGCCCTTCACTCGTGCAGGCTTCCAAAGTGCTTAGATGCTGGCATTTCCGTGCTTCATAGTCCGTTGATGCTCTGCTGCCATCTGTCACGGATGCAGTCAGAACACTCTGTCTCATGCCCGAAGTGACGGCAATGTCGAACGCAGCTGGACCATGTAGGTGCCAGTTGGGGAGCCAGACATCGGCTGGCCGGCGACCACCGCCACAGGGTTGCTCCCCATCTTCTGGGCCACCTTGAAGTTCAGGGCGTGGAGGTAGGAGGTTGGGCTTTTCAACCTCGGGCTGAAGGCCTGCTGTTTTTGCCCGCCCTGCCAAAATGTTTCTGAGCTGATGGTGCCGCTTGACCCGATCGCCGCCACAGGGACAAACGCGCGCATGGTCACCAAATCTGTCACAGGTGCCATCGCAGAGGGGGCAAGGGGTGTCAGAATCAGACACCGGCAAGCGGAGCCGCAAGCGAACCATGGTCCGAAAGAGCGGGGTCACCACGTGAAGCCCCAAGGCGGCGCTTGGGAGAGCATGGAGCCACGCCCCCGCGCCTTCTTGCTGCAAGAGCTGAAGATGCGCCCGAAAGGCTTCCCGACCAGGAGCAGGGGCTGCGAGCCTGGCGACCACAACACGGTCCAGCGCGCGTGACAACCGGGAGGTGGTCGGCCGGCGGAAGGGCCATGTTCACCAGGTTGAGAGCAGCATTGAAGTCAGGGTCGTAGCCTGGATCCATATCTTTGCACAGTGGCGCAGTAGCCCACAAAGACGCAGCGTAGCCGGCGACACTGTGCCGGGCCACGCTGCGGAGCCCGAGCCCACCACACCGAGTGGAGAGTGTTGCTTGGAGCCACGCTTCCGCAGTGAGGGGCCCGCTGCAAGCCACTTCGAGGCATCCTCTAACAGCATTGTCAAACGCTTCCAGGGAGGGGCCGAGCCCATCAGGAGGGGTGACTCTGATGGAGTAAGCCATCCGACAATGGGAGGCACAGTGGCGGAGGAGCAGGAGGGCAGTTTGGGCATCCGGCAAGACAGCCAAAGCGTCTAACAGTGGCAAAGCTTTGGCAACTCGCTCCGATGTTGTGAACTGGTTGCAGAAACTACCGTCTCCAATGGGCGCCCCCAAAAGGCTGAAGGTCCCGGTTTGGTTGAGGGGAATGCCGGGTGGGAAGAAGCTCATGTCCACAGTGGCTGCGGCCCCTCCACACGCCACAAGCTCGCATTTGGCAGGGTTGACTTGCAATCCGACATGGCGTGCGGCCGCCGTCAAGCGGACCAAGCCTGCGCTGACTTGACGATATGAGCCAGCCAAGCACACATCATCCAGGTAAGCCACCACCAGCGAGGGTCGAAGTTCCGGAGGGCCTCCACGGGCAGCAGCTTGGAGGGCCGGCTGTAATGCCAAGGAGAACAACAAAGGGCCAAGCGGGTCACCTTGTTGCACCCCGGTTTCAGAACTCAAAGGCGAGCCTTGGAACAGCAGCCGCGAGTGGAGACCATAGCACCACTCTGCCCAAGGGGACAAGCCTGGCAGGCGGAGGCGAGTCTCGCGGAGGAGAGAAGCCCGGTCGACCGAGTTGAAGGCATTGCTGAAATCAATTTTGAGGAGAACCTGTTCAGCCTGCCCTGCATGCCTCTGCGCCCAGTGTCGGGCAGTGTGGACAACTGCTTCAGTGCCATTGCGGGTGGCCACCCCAACTTGTAAAGGGCATAGAAGATCCCGGGCAGAGTTGCGCACGTCGGAGCAAAGGCACGTGGCAGTCAGCCGCCGCAAGACTTCCCCAACCGCGATGGGTCGCACATCGTCAACCCCTTTCGGCAATGCGTGTAAGGAAGCTCCAGCAAGGTGGGGCGCAATCTCGGCCAGCGCCTCTCCGCGGACGAGCAGCTTCACAACATCGGCAAGCTGGACAGCCATCTCGTCTCCATGAGGGGAAGCGAGGGCCTCGCGAAGGTGGTCACCTCGAAGGCCAGTGGGGCCCGCGCCACTCCCACGGCTGAAGGAGCGGATGGCCTGGATGACGTCCTCCACCGCCAGCTCGGGCACAGCAGCTAAGGCAGGCAGCCCTAGAGCGACGAGAGCCGGGCGGGCAGGGGCGGCGCGGGGGTGTTTGGCTTGCAGCTTGGAAACAACATCAGTCGTGTTGTCCGAGAGTGGCGGAGACACCAGGGCAGCACAGGCACGTGAGAGCTCCCCTTCAGCGGCCAAGGCACAGCATCGGGCCTGCCTGGCAGCCTGCGCTGCCTCTTCATCATCGTCCCGAGGCCGGCGACGGCGAGGACCGGGCAAGTCTCCCCAAAGTTCCTCGCGCTCACCAGCCAGCCATCTGGCACAGCGCCGCTGGGTGAACTGCGCGGCCTGGAGGCGGTGCCGGCGTCCTCCACGCGGAGCAGGGTGGAGCACCGCCTTGGGGAGCATGAAGAAGTCCCGCCACGCTTGCAAGGTGTTGTTGCCTGCCACTTGCCCAAGGGCGCGAGAAAGGCATTGTGCCCAAGCGGCTCGCGCAGCTTTGGGGACATGCCGGAGGACTGGGGCAGGCTCAGCGAAGACGGCTTCAATGGACGGCCCAGGCAGTGCCAGGCCTGCGGCAGGGACTGGCACGACAGCTCGGCGAGCTGCTGGCCGACAGCGTGGGTGCGCACCATTGAAGCGGGATGCCACTAACCCCCCACAAACCGAGCACAGGTCAAGGTGATGGCGAGCCCGATAGGCCTGGGGGACTTCCCCTTCCAAGGTGCCAGCGGCGTGATCTTCGAGGTGCGGTCGCATGGCTGCGTGGGAGGTCCAGCCACGGCCAGACGAAGCAGCGGCGGGGCACCCTGGAACAGGGCAGAAAACCCGCTCAGTCCGGCGAGCTGCCGGCCGGGATCGCTCACGCGACCCTGGCCCGGGATGCTCACGCGACCCTGGCCCAGAGGCATCAACCACCATAGGTTGCCGCTCGCCGCCGACAGGGGTGCCAGGGGCTGGAGGCCCTGGATTTGATGCCTCCCCCACACGGATCCCGATGAAGCCAGTGCGGCGGCGTAGTCGCCGGCGGACCCTTCCACGGCCTCGGCGGGGCACCCAGCAAGCCCGGCGCCGGCGCCAGCGGATGGAAGGGAGCATTGGATCAAGGGGCAGCGCAGAGCAGGCCCATGCCTGCAAGAGGATGGAGGTGAGCTGGCGCCGCTGATAGTGACTGGCTCGGCCGAGTGGTTGATGCCGACGTTCCGGCAATGGTATGCCGCCAGGGGCAAAGGTCGACTGGCCGATGGTTGGCAAAGGATGAGGGCAAGAGAGCAGGGACAGAGCCACTAGCCGGGGCAGCGCCCAAAGGAGGAGCACGCCGCAGGAAGCCATGGCGGGCCGCTGCTGGGCGGTGCAAGCAAGCAGAGGGGGCACACAGAGGTGCTCACACTTGAGGCCCACGGCACCGCTTGCCTGCACCCCCGAGCAACAGCCTTACAAAAGATCGTCCTCATCTGAAATTGCTGAGAAACGGCTTCCTTGAGCCAAGGCCCTGAGGGCCAGTGATAATCCGCAATCTGGAGCTGGGCACCAAGGGCACAGAAGGGAATCCATGGGAATCCAACTCAAAATCATGTACGATTATGTACGATTAACATGGATGGTTTCAGCATCCCAAAAAAAACTCACAACTGATTGTTGCTCAAATCCCGAGTGTTAGTTTATCAAACCATCATGTTCCCTGCTTTCACCGGCTAGGTACCCACCATGTTTGATCTTAAATTGCCCATTGTTGGTACTAAATTTAATGTTTGCAGCTTGAAGTCCAATGGCTGCAACAGCCTCATTTTGGCTGGTTTTTTTGACCCAAAATCCAACAGTCTTCTGCCTCAAAGCTGACATTTTTCAAGATCTTTCCCGGCTCTCACCCTGGGCGCCTGTTCTCCAGCGCGAATTTTGCAGGCAGCGCGGCTTACGAATGTGTCGCGGCTCTGGCGACTGACGTAGACCTCGTTGATCATGTTGATGGTAAGGGGTTTTGGAATGGGCGATCCAGCCTAAAATGAGGATATTGATATTGATATCACATATATACATGTACACATATTCAATCATGTGCATGTGCATAAACATATTGATATGTGCATATATATATATATATATATATATGTATATATATACACATATATTCACATTGTACACATAGATCAGCATAATATTGAGATAAACTGAATTATCACATATTGGAACACATATGGAAATCCCACCATTGTAGAATTATAATAATTGTTTCGCAAGGGAACCCATGGTATTTGGTAAGGGGGAAGTGAGGCATTTCAACGGAAAAATAAAACATGGTCGGGAAAAAACGCCTTTTGGTCGGCAAAAAACGCCGTTTGGTCGGGTAAAAAAAACGTTTCAAAAGCATAAATGTGTACACATTTCTGACAAACATACAATTGTTGGGAAATTGTTCGCAGCCAAAAATAAATGCATTTTGGATGGAAAAACAATTTTCCCTGAAAAAACAAAAAATGCATCTTTTCGAAGATGCAGGCATATATCAATATAATATATATTTATATATCAATGTAATATGTATATATATAAATATATCAATGTAATTTATATATAAATATATAAATCAATATATACTTATATAAATATATATCAATGTAATATATATTTAAATCAATATCTACAAATATACAGTATATATATATATATATATCATGTTTTCATATATTGATGATATGTATATTTATATATATATATATATCATGTTTTCATATATTATACTAGGCGCAGATGACACGGGACTTTGCGGCCAATTTAGCCGATGTTTTTTGGCACATGACATGGGATTTATGTATCGATTTTGCTATGGGTTTTTTTTACACATGACATGGGAGTTATGCGCCGACCTAACGGGCAGGTATTTTTCCATTTTATTAACAGATGACATGGGAATAAGTGATCAAATTTACACATGACATGGGACTTCCAGGAAGACACAAACGTCCAAGATGGGAAATGGCAGGTAAATTCCTTTAAATTCCTCTAAAATCTTGTAAATTCTTTTAAATTCCTTAAAACTCCTTAAAAGTCCTTTAAATTCCTTTAAATTCCTTAAAATTCTTGAAAATTGCTTTACATTCATTCAAATTCCTTGAAAATCCTTTGAATTCCTTAAAAGACGAATTTACCACATGACATGGGACTTCCAACCCCTTTAAATTCCTTTAAATTCCTTAAAAGACGAATTTACCACATGACATGGGACTTCCAATTCCTTTATTATTTTTTTTTAATTCCTTTAAATTCCTTTAAATTCTGTTATATTCCTTTAAATTCGTTTAAATTTTGTTAAATTCCTTGAAATTTCCTAAAATTCCTTGACATTCCTTCAATTTCCTTTAAATTCCTTAAAAGACGAATTTACCACATGACATGGGACTTCCAGTTCCTTAAAATTCCTTTAAATTCTGTTTACACTCATGAAATCTAACGTGGATATAAATGCTATTCCCACTGTCAGCTAACATGGACCTCCGTACCGTCCTGGTAATATCTGCGTTCCCCAGGAACTACGCGTAACTTTTTTTTTAACATGGGAAGCCAAATTGCTAACATGGACTCTGACCAGAGGCAGTTGGATACAGAAGTTGCAGCTTTGTTTGTCAATCTTTTTGATTTTTCAACCGTTTTTCAATTAACCTGGACCAGATATGGTTTTTCAAGCCTCGTTCCTACGAGTCTATGTTAGCCACATTTTCTGGAGATATCAAAATGCGGATTTTTGGGAGTAGATTTTTGTGTCAAGATTTCACCTAACAAGGACCTGAACCAGCTTTGATAGCATGATCTCCTCACATCATGACTGGCACAACTGTTTTTGGATGTCTTTGTGACTCTTTGTGGGGTGAACCCTTACTGGACCCAAAAAAGCTTCAAAATCAAGAATTTTACATAATAGATTGAATAAGGAAAAAACTCCTGGTCGATGTTGCCAATCTGGCTACTTGCTGAACTAACGATTATGATATACTATTGGAGGTTTTGGGAACCCTGGGCAGGATCTATGTTAGTCGTCCTGTTGCCAAAACTTTGGTTTTGGATTGGAAATCATGACTGGCACAGCTGTTTTTGGTATCTTTGTGACTCTTTGTGGGGTGAGCCCTTACTGGACCCAAAAAAACTTCAAATTCAAAATCAAGAATTTTATATAATAGATTGAATAAGGAAAAAACTCCTGGTCGATGATGCCAATCTGGCTACTTGCTGAACTAATGATTATGATATACTATTGGAGGTTTTGGGAACCCTGGGCAGGATCTATATTAGTCGTCCTGTTGCCAAAACTTTGGTTTTGGATTGGAAATCATGACTGGCACAACTGTTTAGTAGTAGTAGTAGTAGTAGTAGTAGTAGTATAGTAGTAGTAGTAGTAGTAGTAGTAGTAGTAATAGTAGTAGTAGTAGTAGCAGTTGTGCCAGTCATGATTTCCAATCCAAAACCAAAGTTTTGGCAACAGGACGACTAACATAGATCCTGCCCAGGGTTCCCAAAACCTCTAATAGTATATCATAATCGTTAGTTCAGCAAGTAGCCAGATTGGCAACATCGACCAGGAGTTTTTTCCTTATTCAATCTATTACAGTAAAGAAAATTGTTGATTTTGAAGCTTTTTTGGGTCCAGTAAGGGTTCACCCCACAAAGAGTCACAAAAACATCCAAAAACAGTTGTGCCAATCATGATTTCTAATCCAAATCCAAAGTTTTGGCAACAGGACGACTAACATAGATCCTGCCCAGGGTTCCCAAAACCTCCAATAGTATATTATAATTATTAGTTCAGTAAGTAGCCAGATTGGCAATATCGACCAGGAGTTTTTTCCTTATTCAATCTATCATATAAAATTCTTGATTTTGAAGCTTTTTTGGGTCCAGTAAGGGTTCACCCCACAAAGAGTCACAAAGACATCCAAAAACAGTTGTACCAGTCATGATTTCCAATCCAAAACCAAAGTTTTAGCAACAGGACGACTAACATAAATCCTGCCCAGGATTCCCAAAACCTCCAATAGTATATCATAATTATTAGTTCAGCAAGTAGCCAGATTGGAAACATCGACCAGGAGTTTTTTCCTTATTCAATCTATTATGTAAAATTGTTGATTTTGAAGCTTTTTTGGGTCCAGTAAAGATTCGCCCCACAAAGAGTCACAAAGACATCCAAAAACAGTTGTGTCAGTCATGATTTCCAATCCAAAACCAAAGTTTTGGCAACAGGACGACTAACATAGATCCCGCCCAGGGTTCCCAAAACCTCCAATAGTATATCATAATCATTAGTTCAGCAAGTAGCCAGATTGGCAACATCGACCAGGAGTTTTTTCTTTATTCAATCTATTATATAAAATTGTTGATTTTGAAGCTTTTTTGGGTCCAGTAAGGGTTCACCCCACAAAGAGTTACAAAGACATCCAAAAACAGTTGTGCCAGTCATGATTTCTAATTCAAAACCAAAGTTTTGGCAACAGGACGACTAACATAGATCCTGCCCAGGGTTCCCAAAACCTCCAATAGTATATCATAATCGTTAGTTCAGCAAGTAGCCAGATTGGCAACATCGACCAGGAGTTTTTTCCTTATTCAATCTATTATGTAAAATTCTTGATTTTGAAGCTTTTTTGGGTCCAGTAAGGGTTCACCCCACAAAGAGTCACAAAGACATCCAAAAACAGTTGTGCCAGTCATGATTTCCAATCCAAAACCAAAGTTTTGGCAACAGGACGACTAACATAGATTCTGCCCAGGGTTCCGAAAACTTCCATTTTTCCCGTCCCTCCAATGCGCGCGCGCGCCTTGGCGGAAAATGACAGCGGATGAAATCTCAAAGGTTGCTACTGTCATTTTCCGCCAACGCGCGCGCGCATTGGAGGGACTGGAAAATTGGAAGTTTTGGGAACCCTGGGCAGGATCTATGTTAGCCGTCCTGTTGCCAAAACTTTGGTTTTGGATTGGAAATCATGACTGGCACAACTGCTACTACTACTACTACTACTGCTACTGCTACTGCTACTGCTACTGCTACTGCTACTGCTACTGCTACTGCTACTGCTACTGCTACTACTACTACTACTAAACAGTTGTGCCAGTCATGATTTCCAATCCAAAACCAAAGTTTTGGCAACAGGACGACTAACATAGATCCTGCCCAGGGTTCCCAAAACCTCCAATAGTATATCATAATCATTAGTTCAGCAAGTAGCCAGATTGGCAACATCGACCAGGAGTTTTTTCCTTATTCAATTTATTATGTAAAATTGCTGATTTTGAAGCTTTTTTGGGTCCAGTAAAGGTTCACCCCAAAAAGAGTCACAAAGACATCCAAAAACAGTTGTGCCAGTCATGATTTCCAATCCAAAACCAAAGTTTTGGCAACAGGACGACTAACATAGATCCTGCCCAGGGTTCCCAAAACCTCCAATAGTATATCATAATCATTAGTTCAGCAAGTAGCCAGATTGGAAACATCGACCAGGAGTTTTTTCTTTATTCAATCTATTATGTAAAATTCTTGATTTTGAAGCTTTTTGGGTCCAGTAAGGGTTCACCCCACAAAGAGTCACAAAGACATCCAAAAACAGTTGTGCCAGTCATGATTTCTAATCCAAAACCAAAGTTTTGGCAACAGGACGACTAACATAGATCCTGCCCAGGGTTCCCAAAACCTCCAATAGTATATCATAATCGTTAGTTCAGCAAGTAGCCAGATTGGCAACATCGACCAGGAGTTTTTTCCTTATTCAATCTATCATATAAAATTCTTGATTTTGAAGCTTTTTTGGGTCCAGTAAGGGTTCACCCCACAAAGAGTCACAAAGACATCCAAAAACAGTTGTGCCAGTCATGATTTCCAATCCAAAACCAAAGTTTTGGCAACAGGACGACTAACATAGATCCTGCCCAGGGTTCCCAAAACCTCCAATAGTATATCATAATCATTAGTTCAGCA